ACTGGACTGCCTCCGCGATGGTCATGTTCCTCTGGCTGTGTGGACACTTCACCTCCAGCAGGGCAGATGGCTGCACAAGTCCATCGGGTGATGCTCCCAAAACACCCGACTCACTCACAAAGAGACCAGACTCGATTCGAACACTGTCACTTGATAGGCCTCCACAAAAGCCTTCACCCCTTCTGCCTCGTTTACAACCCCCCAGTTGACAGTTGGCGATGTCTCTGGCCAGTGGGTTGTATGTCTCCTCTCGCTGTTGGTAAAGTTGAGACACCGGCTGGACTACTTTTTAAGTGCCAGGCTTCCTCCACTGGCACTCCAAAACATATATGAGCAGTCCATTATCAGACAGGCAAACAAAATAGTGTCTGATCCCACCCACATACTCCACCCAGAATTCCAGCTCCTACCTTCTGGTAGAAGATTCAGGGTTCCCAAGAGCAGGCTGAACCGCTATAAGCACTCATTCCTACCAATGTCCGTTAAACTTCTTAACATTGACAGGAAATGAAATGTAGTCGAAGTCAAATGTAATGAAATGTACTTTTTTTAAATGTTGGCCATGAGGGTTGTGCAATAGGTCGCCATTGTCAGTATGTGCGTCTGCGTGTATTGTGTTTGTTCAAACGGTGTATGATTGATGATATGTGTATGTCTCTTAAATGTCCACTATGTTTGTATATTATGTACATGTATGCGGAACTGCTGGACGGAGCCCAGAACGAATTTCCTTACGGGGACAATAAAGTATATCGTATCGTATCACTCAACATCTGTGGAGCTGATCTGCCACATGGCAAATATTGCCAATGCTGCAGCGTGGCTGCATTTGTACATCCCCTTTGCACAATCACAGACAGCGCTCTGCATCACGCCATCGTCTCCCATGCAGATCTGTAAAAATAAAGTAAGTACCATTTGTTAGCATGCTATAATAGATTGAATGAGCAATAATACAAGGATGGTCCGGATCTGGGGGTGGCAGGGTTTATTTTTCCATATTTGTCCTCTTGTCTGATTGTTGTTATTGTTTGTTTTTTCTGTATTTTTTGTAATTTGTGCTGTATTGGTTGTGATTGTACATTGTATTTTTCTAAATGTGTATGAATACATTTTTGAAAAACATTTGATCAACAATAAAAAAGGATTTGGTCAGGATCTAGACTCAGTGTGTAGTTTATTAATTAATCAATGCTCTCTACATTAGGAAAACACATACCAGTGTAGGGCTGTGCAATTAATCGTATTTTAATCGCGATTACGATTATGGCTTGCGACGATTAGGAAAACAGCATAATTGACAAAATACGATTATTTTGCTGGGTGCGCTTTCGCCCCTCCCTAAAAGCCCACTCGGCCACGTGGGAGTGACATGTGTTGTGAGTGTTCAGCGCAAGCGAAGATGTCAGAACAAGAGCAGCAACTAGTTAAAAAGAAGGGTCGCGGGGAGATTCCCAGTCGATCGTGAGATGTGTCTAAAAATAGAACAACAATATTCTGTTTTATCGTTAATGTCCTGTAACATAATGTTCCCGTGCCAGAATAATGCACTTGAACGCATCAAAGCTTTGTGATTGGCCGGCCTCACCCCATGTGTCCGGGCGTGGCTGGTGAGCAGTGCACTAGTTCGCTGACGTTGTCCGTGTCAACAGCATGGATGGTCAACAGGAGTGCCAGTCCGCACACACACAAGACCGCAATTATGGCAGAAGCAAAAAAGCCCAAAATATATAATTTTCACTCCGAGTGGGAGGATCATTATTTTTGTATCTATTCCAATTCAAAGTCCATCTGTCTCATCTGCAATGCGAACGTGGCTTTATCGAAGAAGGGTAATTTAGGAGCGGCATTTCAAAACAGTGCACAAACGCTACGAGACGGAATTCCCTCCTAATTCTGCCCTACGCTCCAAAAGGGGAGGGGCCTGAGAGCACAGCTAAATGCACAGCAGTCCATTTTCACCAGGCCCAACAACAAGAGCAAGGCTGCTACCATAGCATCTTATCGTGTCAGTCACGTTCTTGCGAAACACATGAAGTCTTTCGAAGACGGCGAAGTTATGAAAGAAGCTTTCCTGGAGGCTGCGACGCGCTTTTGTGGGACAGTACAAATAACAGGAGCATTTCAACAGGTTTTTGATATAATAAAAACTCAATTTAGATACCGTTATTAATCTGCTGTAAGTTTTAGTTTGTTTGAATTTATTCATGATAATTATTGTACAAAATGGTATAAGAATGCAAACATTAAGATCTGTTCTGTTTAAATTGATTATAGTCTATCAGTTCAGAAACTAGTGTTGCTTGCATCCTATTTTAAAGGCATTTATTTGTATACTCTAATAAAATGCAACAAAAAAATGGGTTTGATTCTATTAATGTTGTCTTTTTTATTGCACTGTTGCTGCAGCAGATTACTGTGTCGCTTCAGATCTGAGTTGTCTTATTAGTAAGCCTAATTTATACTTTTGTAGCAACACTAATTTTATATAATGGCAAAGAAAGGGTTCAGAGTCTTTTCTTTTTTTCCTGTGTCATATGTGGCAGCACTGCCACAAGTTCCTCTTCAGAGAGGGTCTTCAGTACAGGTGGCAATATTGTCACCTGCCTGCGCTCATCTCTGAAACCAGACCATGTAAACAGGCTGGTATTTCTTGCAAAAAATCTTTAAGAGATGACATGAGCAGCCCTACCAGCATTTGCCATGGTGGCCTAAACATTTTTATTTGGTCTTAAATTGTAGTTCAACATTTATTTCCTGTTACTTCTGGACCATGACGGTTGGCCAGCCTTCAACGTTTAACTGAGTGGAATATGTTGAATATGTTTTACCAAAATGTTGGCTATATGTTAAGGAGTTTTCAGTAGGTTGTGACAGTGCACTGCAACATATTTGATTTCATTTATTTTGGTCTAATTTATTTTTATTTATCATATTAATATATGTTTAGTATGGTTTTGGAAGTGCGCTCCAACACATTTATTGATCTTGTTTATTGGTAAAATAATCGTGATATCAATTATTGACCAAATAATCGTGATTATGATTTTTGCCATAATCGCACAGCCCTATACCAGTGTACCAGAGGGAGTCACACACAGCTGTGCCTAGATAACCAAAATCCTTGAATCTACACACAGCAAATCAACTCAAATGACACAACGAGAAAAAGGAGATCACAAATACAGTATAGTCGATATAAAACTGGCCGCTTCAATCTGAAGAGCAACTAAAACAAAACACGGGAGTATACCTTGTTCTTGTGAACACTAATGTTATCCACAGCATACACAGAGACCACGAAGTTCTTAAGGAGAAAACTAGTTGCTAAAACAAAAACACGTTAGTGTACCTTGTTAGCTAGCTGACATTAACGTTACACATTGCACTCATATTACTCACCGAAACCTTGTAAAGCCGGTCCCGCTGCTCTTACAGAACCGACTAACTCCCCTTTCGTGTATGTACAGCTCTCAACATGCCCAGACTTGTAGTGATGTTCACCTCGTTTTATACTTTTCGCCTCATTCTGAAAGAAACAGGTGAAATTTGCTAACGTGACAGCCGTCTTTGTGATGGTGACGCGTTTTGTGCGAGACCAGAGACCTGTAGTTCACTGAGCGGTTTCACACAAACAAATGTGTAACTTCACAGTTTTACGACACATTTTTATTTTTTTGACTTGTAAAATGTTCTTTTAAATTGACAAACATCATATGTGTCATTCGTGGCACAATTCAAACGGGATTAAAAGATAACCTTTCTCTCTCCATTGACTTCAATGTATAATTTTCCACTTCCGGGGTCCCATGGAGGCTCCCGGAAGGGGAGGGACTTCGCCTCTCTATACCCCAGCGGAGTGAAGAAAATACATGAACCTCACGGGACTCACTCCTCAGTTTATACCGTGTTTTGTTTCAATTAATGTATCATTTAGTTACAAATATGAGATATATCTGAACAACAAAGTGGTCAAAAATCATTTTATTCATTTATTGGAAACATTTTCATGATCGCTTTTTTCGTTTTACATTTTCATTTATTGTCATTTCCATTCAGTCATTCATTAAGTACTATTTAAAATATTAATTTGCTCCACACAAACAAACAAAGTGTGCAGTCCAATGAATGTTAATCTAACTGGGTTTTGATAGATAACATATCTGTTGTTGTTCTCTGAATAATTGTATTCCTATTGTGCACTCTAATCAATATTAATCAAACTATTGTTCGTTTAAATACATTTTAAGAATGGCGTTTATCTTTTTTGAGAATTACTTCTTATTTTATTTCATGTATTTGGATCTACAACAGATGATACTAATGTTTATGTCAGTAAATGTGTACTAACAGAGGCGGGGGTGTTTGTGGAAATAACGGGTACAGAGCTGGCTGCTGCCAGACGAACAGCTGTGCAGCGTCATCACAAACGGACGTCGCTTCACGTGACACTCCGGAGGAAAGGACGTCCCATTGCTCTTAAAACTCATTTCCCTGCTTCTCGTGGTTTCCTTGCGTCCCTCCATGCTTCCCTGGTGGGAGGGACTAAACGCAGGGAAACGACGCAAGTGAGGGAAGCAAGGATTTCATTTAATCGACCTGAGAAGCAGCCAGTGACGTATCTCCAATTAGGCGTTTTGGGGAGGTATTTTCTGTTTTAGAGTTTTACTCGCTACATGGTGTACTTTGAGGGTTTTGACTCTGCACACCATTTACATGCATACAAACCTTCATAACACACAGGGGACGGGTAATAACCGGAAAAGCACGACATGTCACCTTTTTAAGCCAAAACAATATTTCCACCGGGGCCAATCACAACCTTGTTACGCCAGAGATGCTGTATGAGATGTGAGTTTGGAAAATTGCAAAATCTATTCTAGTAGACCTCAACAATGGAATTATGATCAGTAGAAATGGCCATGACATGGGACCTTTAAGATTTATTTGATTTTAGCTTCCACCTCTCTTGAACGCAGCACTGGTGACGTAGGGGGCGTGGTCGAACTGCAGTACTTGCCCAGACTGAACACCGGGTAAACCCAGCTGTCATTTGACTTGATGCTAAAAATGGCAGGAAACAATTCTTATACTATAGTTGAATATTTTGGCGGGGATTCGGGTTACCGGTGTGGTTACTGTAAGAATGATGAAGGAAACTTTTCTCATGGTGAGTGTCTTAATCCAGTAGGAAACAGTCGCTTCACTGAACTGACTCATGCTAACCACCTAGCCCCGTCTACTTGCTGGGTTTGGTGCTAGCTAATGTTGGCTCTTTAAATATTAAATGTCACTTAATTTGAGTAATTTATGTTAGGTGTGCTTACCTACACTTAACATTTAACAGAGTGCACATAAGCTAGTGCTCAACTAACGTAATTGGTTAGTGTCAGGTTGTTTGCATTACTTGTGCTATCTGGGTTTTTAGCAATTAGCATCCTATTGCCCAACGCTATTATTAGGAAAACACAAGACTGCTGTAAAACATATGTAAGTAAGGTTATGCTGGTATTGTGGAACTACTTTTGGCTATAATGTTTACTCAAGACTAACGCTGTAACATTTAGCTGCTTCAGAAGACTTGGGTACATTTCCACTAGCATCATGCTAGCTAACAACTCATAGCAGGAGGAAGATGCCCTCACAAGCGAAAGTGCAGCTGTCTCGATTTCATATAGTCCGTTATTGCAGTGGCACTGAGTGTAGGGTTCTCTAAATGTTTGCTAAAAAGACTGGCGTAAAATCTATCATGTATTTATATGTTTTGGCGTGGAGAGGTCTGTGATGTTCAGTAAGGGCTCATTCGATTTTATTTGACGTTTAACTATGTGTGAAGTGCTGCAATAGCACACACATGAGAGCTAACATGAGGCAGATTTCACAACATGCTGAATCAGAGTGTTTACCAAGTACTCCTTGGAATCTCAAGAAGTTGCTTTTACTGTCACTTTGGCATCTGGGATAAGAGCCTATTGCTACTGCAAGAAATGATTCTTGTAGTTAAAGTAAATGCTGGCAAAAGGATATAAGAAACAAATGCTCTATCCAGCTGCAGTGAAAAATCAAATTGTATTCAATAGCATTTAATAATGCCTGATTCCAATACAAATGTCCTAATATATGTTGTACCAACACTTTCTACAGGGCATGCCACTTTAAATACTTAATCATATTTAAAACCACACAACTAGTTGTCAATGCAACTGTTTGTCATTACAAAAAGCAATATTGTCACAACTACATAAAGTACAATTTACAGAAAAACACTAGTAAAATAACTGAGAAAGCTAGACTATATTTTCAAGTGATGAACCAGGAGGGAACCTGCTGGATAACTGGATTACTTAATGAGAAGCAGGGCAAGCTTTGTATAAAAGGTTAACTCCGGGTAGAGTTTCAGTAGCCCTCAAGTATCCTTCAGCGCCAGAAGCATTCCTTCCAGAAATCTGTTCACACGGAGGGTGACACGGATCAGTCATGTGTCGTAAAGGTTTTTAAACTCTCTGTACAAGACAACTGAGCTACCAGAAAACTAAAAATATGCATGCTGCGAGAGGCTTCCATTTAAAGGGAAACCAAGGTCAATGTAATGTATTAGTGGCATTTCTGAGTTGTGTAAGATGGATGTGACAGCATGCTTTAATTTAGTGTCTAGAGAGGGTGAGAAGTCGACTAGGTTTAGGGTTCAGGCAGTTCCTACTGCTGTCAATGAAAGATTGGGCTCAGAGCCAGCAGACGAGAGCTGTCTAATCTAAGATAAGAGTGGTAATCTGGATATGTTGCATCGTGTGGGCAAGGCAGATTCTGGAGAGGAAGGTAGACTACTCCCAGTGGGATTCTAATAAGTAACAGTGTTAAAAGGTTGTGTGTTCCTCCATGTGCTGATACAGGTTCAATCAGTACACCAGACCTGTACACAAGATGTCAAGCTTGTCAAGTTGGTTATTTTCAGACTGCAGAAAAGAAAAAAAACACTTCATTTTGTCATGTTATAATCATCCCTTAGTGCTGATTTACCGGGGAAGACTTATGAAACAGTATAGGTCAACAGTGATTATCAGATCAGTGTTTTTGTTGTACTTTAAACCTTTCCAAGCAGGTGGTAAGCGAGATTTTTATTTGATTGGCTTGCTGATGTTATCAACAGTGTTGTTACATGCAAAGCAAACCCTGCCCCACTCTAAAGAGCTCAACATCTGCCCTCCTCTGTGTGAGTGTCTGTCAGGCCTCAGGGAAGGCTGAACAAATGGATCAGATGAGAGCGATAGAGAGACACTCCCATAGTGTCTTACACTTACAGAAAAACTGACATTAGAGGTTTTCTCTGGAAATATCTTTTCCATCTCCGGATTTCCTGCCTAACAAGTAATCCGGCTTTGATTAGCCCTGCCCTGTTATTCATTTGCTTTTAAAGGTTGTTATTGATGTGCAATGTTTCCCATATACATTATTTATACTCCATTAAAAGCATCCTTAATATAAAAAACCACTGAACAGAATACTAAAAAAAGTATTTAATAATCAGATTCATATGATAATTTGACATCTCTGAGATTATGATCATTTAGGGTCGTAGAATAGAGGTTATAGGGCAGAAACCCCGTCAGAAATGATGTTCTGAATGAATTGTGAGGCCTTATACAGTATGTGTGGTATTGAAAGATCTCCCCAACAATCCTAAATGATGGATATAGTATGCTGCACATCTTTTGGGATGTTTTCCCTGAAAAATGCTGCTCTGTCTTCATCGTTCAAGGCAAGGCAAGGCAAGGCAATTCAAACTGCTTAACAAAAATGAAAGACATTAAGAGCATTAAGAAACATGAATAAAACATGAATAACACAGGTACATGAATAAAAGTTACAGTGCAGTGTGAGATATGAATAGTTCAATTAAAAGCAGCGGCACAAAGAAAAGTCTTCAGCCTGGATTTAAAAGTAGTCCGAGTTGCAGCGGACCTGCAGTTTTCTGGGAGTTTGTTCCAGATATTTGGAGCATAATAACTGAACTTCTCCATGTTTAGTTCTGACTCTGGGGACAGAAAGCTGACCAGTCCTTGAAGACCTGAGGGTTCTGGATGTTCATCATTTAGCAGGAGGTCAGAAATGTATTTTGAGCCTAAACCATTTAATGCTATATAAACCAGCAGCAGTTCAAGTGTAACCGTTTCCATTTTAAAGTGGTTTAAACCTTCAACATATGATAATATTTGATCACTTCCAGTACATTTCTAAGAATAACTGTCCGGTTGGATTCCCCTAATCTTTTTCCATTTAACATGATAGTGAAAAACTATCTGGACACATTGAATACTGTTTAAGTCATTTGAATGGCATGTGAAAAAAAACACTCTATGGATCAATCTTGACCTACTCTGATGATCAGATATGTTATTTATTAAGATGATAATAGATGAACATTTGTGATATGATATGGATCGTATCATATCACGCAAGCGTGGAGATCTGATCTTTAAAAGATGTTGCTCTACCCCTAAAGAAAATCTGTAGTCTTCTTCAGTCATTGCTTCCTTGTTGTAGTCGTGTGTCTCTGTGGACTGGACATTGCAATCTCGGTTCTGTGTTGTGTGAAGTGTTTACAGTGAATTCCCTCGACTGCTCTAGATGTGAACTGATATCTCTCTTGTCTTCAAGACTTACTTTTTGGTGTGTGCGTCACACTGTATATAGTTGCAGAGGATGAGGTCAAGAGGTCAAACGGGGAGCTCACAGCTCAGCTCTGGGAAGCAGGACCCAAGCTGCTGTGGACACCGATAATATTGTATGTTACCAGTAGGGACTGTGGGAATACTTTAGGGGACACTGTGATTTGAGCTAAAACAAAAATGTGGACCTCCCAAAAGACTTTATGAGCTGCTTCTGAATAAAGCACTCCTTACTTGTTTACATGCTTCCTCATTCAGGTTTAAAAAAAGAATATCTGTAACTCTTTAATGCTGTAATTGAGCTTTATTTCATAGAGCCAAGCTAATTATGATTCACTTCATGCACAGGGGCGGATCTACCGGGGTGGCATGGGGTGGCAACTGCCACCCTAAACAATAGCCTTGCCACCCCAGCTGCCACCCCAGTTGGCATCTTTGTTTTGAAAGAAAAGTTGTGGCTCATCGGACATTTATGAGAGAAAGTCTCTAATGTCCCAGTGCAAGTGAATGCAGCACAAGATGCACGTCATGTAACCCCTCCCCCGGTCCTGGCGCGAGAGTGGAAATATGATTGGTGGCGAATTCACTTGAACGTGGGGACGGCGCAAAACGAGAAGCCTTTCGGACCCAAGCACTGAAGGAATGAGGTAGTTGCGGTCTACAATGACAGAGAAGAGAATGTCAAGTTTGGCTGTACTCAGCATTGAATCAAAACGCACTACAGCTGTTGATCTTAATACGTTTGTGAGGCGTTTTGCTGAACAAAATAGTAATCGCCGCATTCAGCTGTAATAGACATGCCAACTTGATGCTCTGCTCACGGATGACTCGATGAGAATAACAAACTGTTAAGATGATGACCTTGTATGCGTGTATATATTTTTTTCTTTGAGGGGGTCTGCCCCCAAAAAACAGTTTTAAGTCCTGAGAAAGTAAAATAAGACGGTGTGTAAAACTACACAGCCCAGCCAACAGAAAGTAACCACTTTGATTTAACTAGGCCAGTAGGTAAGGACCTTCCACTGGATAATAACTGCAGCGATGTTTTAGCTGAATACAGGTTTTTTAATCCTAACTGATGCAGTTAGTCACTTCTTTAATGTTTGTTCTTTCTGATGTAAAGTCAAGGTTGTAACTGTATATCAATAATGATATAATTACTTGTTTTCAAATTTGAAGGAGAGCGAGCAAGCATCTTGATGAACATTCATCATTAACTCCTCCAAAAAATATAGTTTATTCAATAATAAATGAATATGTGAATCATAACAGTTCTTCACTATATCTGTAAAGCGTCTTTGAGCACCTGTAAAAACGCTAACAAATTAAATCTATTATTATTTATTAACAGTGATTGACAGCTGATAGGAATAATATGATTGTTAATAGTATCATATTAATTCAGACAAACATCGATGAGACAGTTGATTAATGTACTTATTGCAGCAGTCTGCATAGATTTGGTACCCCTGCTGGTCTAAGAGTGAGACAAACTCATTCAGTTATTGTTCAGTTAAAATTCATTAAATTACGTCTGCCGTATGTAAGGCTTTACTGATGTGCCACAATAATATCACCTATGTGATTGAGTTAAAATATTAATATTGTGGCTTTCCAAGTTAACATTGATTGTAGGGGTGTAACGGTTCACAAACATTTCGGTTCGGTACTAGGCCTACCTCGGTTTTTAGGTCACGGTTCGGTTCGTTACGTTTTCGGTACAGCATAAAAAATTATCACAAAACATTAAATATTTTTTTAAAATTATTATTAAACTGTGACTAATGTATTCAAATAAATACAAAATATAGTAAAATAAACATTAAGGTGCAGCATTTCGATGAACTGAAATAATCTGTATTTGAACTGTACTAGTTCCTAAGCAGCCAGCTTGACATTAGGACTTGCTTGTCATTGTATTTTCATGTTGTTCTAAAGAAAGATGAACTTGTCCACATTGCTTGCCGAAAGGGCAGATCTGCTGGCACTAACAATGGCTCCTGCTGTGGAGAACACCCTCTCTAGGGACAGTGGCAGCAGATACAGCCAGGTAGCGCTTTGCTGACATGGCAACATAAGGATACTTGGCATTTCTAATAGCTTTGGCTCGGTCTGAACTCTCTGCGAGTGGTGGAGGCTTAAATGCTAGTGGGAGTTGGGTTTGCACTTCAGTCTTTTTTCTTTTGGTACCGGTGATATTCACATTCGGGTGATGCCTTTTCAAATGAGTGTGATGTATTGCCAGCCGCGTAACCAATATTAGTTGAACAATACAGACAAACAGCTTTGGTTCGGTCCACCTGTCTTTGTCCGTCATCCTTGTACGTAACTGCGAAACCAAAATGTTCCAAAACCGGAGCCTTCAATGATGCTGGAGGATTTTCGAGCTCAACTTTATCTGCGTTCGCCATTTCGACAGTTCCTCAAATTACTGACTACATTTGAACGCATCCCTGTGACCAGCTCTCATAGTATGCCTCTCGTCCAATGAAATGACTTGGTCGCTCTATGATATATACCTGAGATTACTTCCAGAAAGTTGTTCATGTTCTCAATTTTTTACGTTTAACGCTATATTCGTTCGGTACACACGTGTACCGAACCGAAGGGCCCGTACCGAATAATTTCAGTACGGGTACCGTTACACCCCTAATTGATTGATATGATTGCGATTTAAATCAGCATATACTTCTGTCAGGGGATGCCACCCCTCAAAATCTCCTGCCACCCTCTTGCCACCCCATGAATATTTGTCTAGATCCGCCCCTGTTCATGCATGAAACAGCATGCTCTTATGCTGACGTTTCATTTCAAAACTAGAGTGGAATCATGAAATGTATGAAATGTTCTGATGTCCCTTTTGTATTCTATAGGGATGTGGTCTCACACCATGACTGTACAAGACTACCAAGACCTGATAGACCGAGGGTGGAGAAGGTGAGAAGCTGTTTTTACCTTCAGGCAATCCTGCCCATTGTGTTATGGACCTTTTTCATTTTCTGATTAATATGGTGAAAGAAATACATTTTGGGGATAATTCAAATGTGTGATTGTCTGTTTCAATAATGGTTTTCCATTATTTTATTTTCAGAAGTGGGAAATATGTCTATAAGCCCACATTGAACAAGACATGCTGTCCACAGTACACCATCAGGTAACTTCCATCCTGAAGATTCAGTTCACTTTAGAACTGACACAGCCAGATATACATGGCACACATAAGAATGAGCCACGGTTAGGGATGCAAAATATGGAATATGTCTCGCTAATACTGATCCCCTGGACGATACTATAAAGATGAGAGAAAATATCATAATTTTTGTATCGAAAAAGGGGTCATAACCATAGACTGTGTAGGTCTTAACCTTTCATTTAACCCTTCTCTTGCGTTTCGGGTCAAAAGTGACCAAATGACTTTTATTTTAATCATAAATATTGTATTTTTCATCCAATTGCCTCAATACCTTATGTTATCCTCCACGCTAGGCCTCTGAACATATACACTTGATGATCACCACTTTCATTGAATTTTGAGTTATTTATTCAACAGTGAAACCACTTGATGTTTTCGGTCAGATTTGACCGCCATAGAAAATGAATGGGTATGAGTGTATTATGTTCATCCTGTAGATGGAAAACATCTATACACACACACACACACACACACACACACACACACACACACACACACATATATATATATATATATATATATATATATATATATATATATATATATATATATATATATATATATATATACATACATACATACATACATTTCCTGGAGACTTATCCTAACCTTAACCATAACCAACACATGCCTAACCCTAACCCTTACCCTTAACCTTACTCTAACACTAATCCTAAACCTAATCAAGTCTTCACCCTAAAATTAATGATTCCCCTCATGGGGACCTCCAATTTGTCCCCATAAGGGAGGCGAGTCCCCACACGTGACTGTGTAAACAGATTTAGGTCCCCACAAGTATAGTAATGCTAGGCCACACACACACTTTACGGGAACCTCTCCCTTTCTCGTGCTGTATGATACAATGTATCATACCTTCTCACAGGTCCAAGCTCTGTGCCCCTCGAGAAACACAAACCTCTCACTTTCTCACGCTAAATGCGCCTCTCTTACTGTCTCTCAAGCAGTTATATTTGTGCCTTGCTCACATTTGACTCATTGACACAATGAGCAGGCGACCGATTACGCTATTTTCTGTACGAGGGGCTCTGGACACATTTTTGAACCAGATGAAGAGGAGATTGAACCAGATGAAGAGGAGATAGAGACAGATGTCTCAGAAATGGAAGACAACAAAGATCCAGATTATGAGCCTACAACAGACCAGGAAGAGGCACCTGAGGGAGAGGAGGGAGAGGCCCCTGAGATAGAAGCCCCTGAGGGAGAGGCCCCTGAGATAGAGGCCCCTGAGGGAGAGGAGCCTGAGGTGACATTCCACAATTTTGCATTGCCAACCATGTGCGTGAACACACGTGAACACACACACACATGTTCTGTTATGGTATATTTCTCTTTCAATAAATGTTCATTTAAGAAAACAGTATCAGTGTCTTATTTTATATTCATCACAGTGAATGCTGAACTTGATGGGCCCACCGGTGGGTCTGGACCATGACATGAAACACTGGCTTGCTTGTACAAATCAATACATCCCATACATCATTGGAACGGGAAGAATCTCAGCTACAACTCTAACTAAATAATTTCCATCTCCAGTAAACACAGCCTACATGGCAAGCATTTTTATAATATACAGTAATGTAAAATAAGCACTATCTTTGAACTTACTGCCAAATATAATATGAAATTCACCCCTGGTGTCATTCTGTCTGTCATCCCTTGATTCTACTTGCTTTGACTGTTCAAAGGAGATGTCAAACATCAAAATTGGATAAGAGGTTCCAGAGATATCACTGTGCAAAACACACCGGTCAATTTTGACCGAAAATAGCATGGGAAGGGGGGTATGGCCTAACGCAAGAGAAGGGTTAAGCACACCTCAGGGAAACAAAGGCGAGTGTGCAAATATTGCTGATTGTCTGATTTCAGACCTGACCAATTAACCATTTTAACAGACATCACTATTGTTAAAACAGCTAAAGTAAACAGTTGTGACTCTCAAAATGTTTCATAGTTAGTTTCATATATTAATTTACCTAATACATCTTTTATAAACTAGTATATGAGCAATAACAGCAGCATTCTATGCAAATATTAATAGTTTATTTTTGTGCTCTCTGTCAAGATGTCATGCAACGAAATTCCAGCCCTCCAAATCCCACAAGAAAGTCCTGAAGAAGATCAGCAAATTCATTTCCAAAGGGGAAATGCCAAAAGATCAGGATAATGGTGAGAGTACATTTCTAACATTATGAGATTTGAGTAGTTATCATCAATGTGTTATCTGATAAAGTTCCCTATTGGTATACAGTACATGCATGAAAAAAGCAGTCAACACTGTTGGACTATTGGGTTGCATAGGGGTCAGAGTGCACGGTGGGAAGTACAGTAAGGGATTGGGACAGACTCAAACAGGTTTAGCTCTGTAGCTCTGTAGGACACATGATAGTCAGCAATGTTGTCCCTTGCAGGCGAGCCGATGGACGCGGTGTGTGACCAAGCGGGGCCGCGGGAGCCCAGCAAAGCCTGTCACTCAGACGTGAAGTGTGCTGCTATCACAGACATTCAGAAGGAACTACCAGAGTGTCCCGCTATCACAGAAGGCCAGAAAGAGGTAGTGGATGCAGCACCTGCAGCACCTGCTGTCTCAGAGATGTCAAGAAAAGATCGAGTGTCTGTATCTGATGAGAGGACAGCCACAGCTACTAAACCAGGTGAGATGGTTAACTGATAAATAGCTGGTTATGCTCATCAGCAGTTGGGGTTATTCTTGATGATACAAATAAATACAAAGAAAAAAAGGACATGATCTTTAAATATAGAGCTGAAAAAACGATTTGATTTAATTAAACTTGAAAAATGAGTTGGCAGTTATTCATTCAGACAATCAACAGATAAATCACTCAGGATAATTGTTTGTTGCAGCCCTACATGAATGAATGAATTTGGATAGCTTATGCTAAATGTTAGTGGGCGCATGCAGCCTTTGTCTGTTATTCTTTTGAACTGCAGCAACGCAGCATCCACACGGCGGCGTGCGTTGAAGCTTGCCGGTGGGCGTGTCTGAAACTTGACCAACAACCAATCACATGAATCTCCCGCCCCGGACACACAAGCACGCGGTTTGATTGGCTAGAGCAGGGGTTCTCAAACTTGTTGTTTATGCGGACCACTATTTATTATCAAGGGTTTTCGTGGACCACCTCATATGCAAACCATACAAATAAGTACATATATAAATGTAGTGTTAAAACGCCGATATTTTTTTTATAGTTAATCATAGATAATCAAAAGTAAATTGAAGCCTATCTGATACTTTTGTGACCGGTGTCTGTCTGCGTTGTGTATGTTTCTCAAAGAGGACTGCGGACGGTATTTTAATTAGGTCATCCCAAACAATGCCACAAGTGCGCACGCACGCACGTGCACAAAACGGGCAGACAGGTCTACAAAAAAACTACCGGTATGATTTAGTTACTGTGCTGCAAAAAGCAGACGGTGCTCAACACACACAGACTCAAAACAATGGACACACAGGCATATAAGTAACATAAACAATGTATAGGCCTAAATTGCATAAAGGCTTGAGCTACATTATTGCTACTAAGCAGACAGCGCTGTTTCTCTCTCTCTCTATCTCCACTTTCAAAATCTATTTAAATCTCAAAACAAACTCCCAAATTCCCAAAGTTGTCCTGAAATTAACTTATTAAACTAAACGAGAAATATAGCCTACTCAGGGGTGGATCTAGAAAAATATTCATGGGGTGGCAAGAGGGTGGCAGGAGATTTTGAGGGATGGCATCCCCTGGCAGAAGTATATGCTGATTTAATCACAGTCATATCAATCAATGTTAACTTGGAAAGCCACAATATTGATATTTTAACTGAATAACATTAGGTGACATTATTGTGGCACATCAGTAAAGCCTTAAATAGAAATATAAGATGGCAGTCATAATTGAATGCATTTTAACTGGACAATAACTGAATGAGTTTGTTTCACTCTTAGACCAGGGGTACAAAATGTATGCAGACTGCTGCAATAAGTACATTAATTAACTGTCTCATCGATGTTTGTCTGAATTCATAAGATAATATTAACAATCATATTATTCCTATCAGCTGTCAATCACTGTTATGATGCGGCGATTACCATTCTGTTCAGCAAAACGCCTCACAAACTGATTAAGATCCAAAGCTTTAGTGCGTTTTGATTCAATGCTGAGTACAGCCAAACTTGATAGTCTCTTCTCTGTCATTGTAGACCGCAAATACCTCGTTCCTTCCATCTACAGTACTTGGGTCCGGATGCTTCTCGTTTTGCGCCGTCCTGTTCAAATGAAATCGCCTCCAATCATATTTCCACGCTTGCGCCAGGGCCGGGGGAGGGGTTACAAGGCTTGTGTCTTGTGGTGCATTCACTTGCACTCGGACATTAGAGATTTTCTCTCATAAATGTCCGATGAGCCCAACGACCACTACCCCACTGCCTGATATCATTAGAAAGCTAGGAATCTCCTCTTTCCCGACAGTGTATACAACTCAAAATGTGTCTTCGGGTCAATGCGATTGATTTTGATAGAGCTAGTCACATATGAGGTGGTCCCCGAAAATCCTTGATAATAAAAAGTGGATTTTATTTAGCTTTTTTCCACGGACCACCTGCAGTACGTCCGCGGACCACAGTTTGAGAACCGCTGGGCTAGAGCTTGTACTGACATATGATTTGATTGGCTGACGCTTCCGTCAAAGCTTTAAAAGTAGAACATTGCTCTACTTTTGAAGCGAAGCGACGAAACCACAATGCAGTTCGGCAAAGCGTGACGTCACCCCATTCAAAGTGAATGGGCAGAAGCGCTGAAGCTTCAACGCACGCCGCCGTGTGGACGGGCCGTAAGAACAACTTTAAAAACAGTCAAAGTAGCTTTACTGACAATCATCTATTCAGATGCCACTTTGGTAACTGAAGCACCATTGTTGGCCAGAGTGTGTCACTGTTCACCTTGCAATAGACTTCGCTGTGCAGCAACTTGGTGAAGGAGGCTGCTGTTTCTTCTGTGTTTGCAGTAGTGTGTCTGGTCAGGGCTTATCTGTCATGTTCTCCTCTTCACACTCCGGTACAGGATATCCTCACGGCCAACTCCCATTAATGAATAAATATCACTCGCATTTAGGAGATAATAAACTCTTATTAGACACAGGAAGCAGTACTTCTTACAACTGCTCATGTTCAAGATCTCCACCACTTATTTCCCTTTTAAACCTCTAATGAGAACATGACCCCACGCTCATTAATCAAAAAGCAGGGACTTATATTTGAGTGGAAAGGCTTGGTGTGGGCACGGTTCGATCCTGATGCAGACATAAACACATAGATAGAAAACGTTCAGCGGTGCAGGTGCAGCTCCACACTGTTCTTCCTCAGACTCTCAGGAATAACTGGCTTTTTTAGGAGGCTAGCAAAGCGGAAGCAAGGAGGATTTACTGTGTTGGACCGGTGTTTCTCCACTCCCCCCTTATTCACCTCCAACAGAAAACACCTGGACATATCTTTCCTGTAGTTTTATGACTGAAGCGCTTTATAGCTTTGGGCAGGTTCCAGTTTTAGCTGGAGAGAACACGGCTCCCCATTCCCCATAGAGAGTATGTAAAGCCAGAGGTAAACAGATACAGAAGTGCATATGGAATGTATTGCAAAGCTGTCCTTGGATCTGCTTTACAGGGAATCAAGTAACTTGCATACATGTATTTGTATTCCTATAAAAGTATTTGATCAATGTGTTGTATGTGTTTCAGTAAAGGCAATGGAGCTAGTCAGTTCTGGCATGTAAGCTAAAATAGATTTGCTTTCTCCAGAGTTATGTTGCAGTGTTAATTGATTGGAAAACATCAATATACTCTGTTAAGGAGGTCATGTTTTAGCTCAGGTTTTTGGTCTGTCGTTTAGGATTACGGAAAAAAACCTTTGACCAATTTTGATTAAACTCGGTGGAAAGGTGAAGCATGGGGCAAGGAAGAACCTATAACATTTTGGAATGGATCCACACAGAAGGCAGATACACATGTTGCATTGAAGTTATTGAATTTGCCTTGGCTGTGGTCCACTCTCCCTTTGTGCCCTTTTAGTGCAAAATGATTTTCATTACAAAGAAAAGTTATTAAAGGGGCCATATAATGCTCACTTTCAGGTTTCATGAGTATTTTGTGACATGCTTACATGCTTACATGCTTTCATTCCAAAAAGGTCTTTATTTTACTCATACAGCCTGTGCTGCAACACCTCTTTTCCCCCAGTCTGCTCTGAATGGTTTGCTGGTCGGCTGTTTTGATTGGCCAACCGCTTAGAGATGTCCCGCTCCTTAGCGTTATCATGTACAATGTGTTGGAGCACTATCCAATAGAAGTGCAAGTGTTACGGAAGAAAACAAAGGAGTCTAATCGAGGTGTTTCGGGGATGGTGTGGGAGATCACGTTTAGCCTTTGCAGATCATTTACATGCACAAAAAACAAACAACATAATAGGGCCCGGTCTACGCAGGTTAGCACCATTTCTATAAAAGAGTGGTGTTCATCAAGTGGTAGCATGACTACTTATCGGGCAAATTGTTGTAAGATGCTGTAAGCAATTGTTATAGGAAGCAGTCTGGTGTGTTTTAACGGAGGCAACATTAACAGTACAGACGGTACTGTTTCCCAGAGAAACGGCACATAGCTCCATGTTAATATTTCAGGGCCTGTTCACAGATAACAGCATCCTCCTCCCACAGTCAATTCATTTACAGTCTCTACATGTTTACATGCGGGAGAGCAGTATGTCACCAGTCCAGACAGTTAAGGCAGATCTTCGGAGTTGTATGTGTGTTTGGGGAGGCAGAGTGTCACAGCTTTTATGAAGTGCTAACTGCTGGAGTGGGAGCATGTGCCTTCCACAGGAACTGATCTGTCAGACTCTATCTTTACCACGGCTGCGTAAACACTGTCCTGAGGAGTACCTGTGTCCCTATGTGTGAGACATAGAGAAGGTGTGCAGTGAGATAGTAATTAGAGGCACATGGATAAGGGTTTATGTGTTGGGGGTTAAGATGGCATGATGAACACATTTCAGACTCTGTGTAACCAGTCCTACTTGACCCCGCAGTGTTTACTGTGATCCAGAAAACCATTTACCATGCTATGCTGGCAGGATTGTGTGTTTGTAACAGAGGGCCTCCGTCCTTTAGTGCCTCCAGTCATTTAAAGGGGACCTATCACGCAAAATGCACTTTAGTACGTCTTTCATACAGGAATATGTGTCCCCGGTGTTCCAGGGAACTAACCAAGTGTCAGAAAACACAACCCTCTCTATTTTCCTCCATACCCAAATCTCTAAAAAAAGGGGCTGCAACAGATCTGATACAGACTGATCCAGATTTGAACACTGTCCTGACGTCAGGACGGTGGCGCTACGGCTATTGGTCAACTCTCCACCTATCAGGGGAATGAGAGGTTGGGCCACGGCCGGCCATTGCTGCTCGAAAGCGCTGGAGACGCTGTAGTACATATGCCAGGCCGGTAAGTGGCGCTGTAGTCTGCCACAAAAGCAGCGAAGAAGACTTCCCTTGCATGGTTGCCATGGTTGCCTTTCTGTTTATTCTCCGCTGTGGCTCTTTTTCTCCCTCCCCGAGGCAAGCTTTTGCGCCTCCTGCTTTAAAACAAATGAATAATGACTCGTATGTAAGGGATAATGTGCAGCGACGCGGCCATTATGGGGAAAAATAGGTATGGCCCTACAATATAAGTTTCAAATATAGCATGATAGGTCCACTTTAACATTGAAGACAACACAGAAAACAGATACACTGAGATGATTTGTGACTCATGGATACATAAAATGTTTTGACTGTACTGAGCAAGAGCGCAAACAGGCTGCAATGTAGTGCTTTGGAAAATTGCGCACTGTCAATGTATGTCCACTTATAGTATTTGTTTTTGCCCACTGACAAGCAGCATTGTGGAAATAACCCCACAGAGAGATAACTATTTACTCTTTGCTTAAGACGTGTACAAAGAGCGTTGGTTATTGTGCTTTGTCAAGTTTGCTCAAGTAGAAGTTCAGAAGTCTCAAAAGAGCGTTAAACCTCATCCATATTGTTTGAAATCTGCTGAATATTCAGCCATGACATTTCAAATATCAAGCTTGAAGTGATGCTTTCTGTACTGCAACAAGTTAGTTTAATATGATGGTAGTAGCAAAGATTTGTCAAAACCATTTGAAATGTTGTTCTTGCAGGATTTTGAGATAACGCTTAATCGACTGCTGCCCAAGGTAACACGATTTGGGTTAACATAGATAAGAAGAGTTCAACTTTACAGAGCTGGATGAGGATGAGAAAGGAAAAATATATAGTGATCACATATTTTGGCCATACCGCCCACTGTCCTTACTCCAACACAACAAACCTTGGCATTATCGGCACTCCTCTTGCCAAATCTTGATCACTTTTCCACTGGCAAAAACATGACCTTTTGGTAGACGTACATCTTTATATGTTTGTTTGTGCTCAGAGTATTATATTGTATCCTGTGTTGTGCCTGGAGTGCCCTCGCTCAAACACTTTTTCAAAAGCTGTTATGCTCATTAGTGTGTTTTACACAAACACATGGAAAACTGGGTCTAGGTTGAAAAACAGCAAAGTCCCAGCTGGATTATGATTTAGTTACATTATGCAAGAATTTTAAACTGTTGTTTTTTGGAAATTAGAAGATAGCCCATGGTTTCCTCCTTTTTATTTTATTTAAAAAAGGATGCTTCGGCCTGGCGGGAAGTCATTTGAGACCTGCCAGGCCAGCGGGCTTGCAACAGATTAGGGAAAACCCTGCTGGAAATAAACCGGCAGAATCTGCATATCCTTCCTGTTATGGTGTGCTTTGACTGTTCACTGTACTGAAGCTGAACACTGCCAGTGAGCTGTGGTCAGTCACAGAGTTTCCCTCTCCCCTTGTCAGGACCGAGCCCCCCCCCTCCCTCCTTTTGTTACGTCGACACCGGGGAAAGTTAGTAAGTGAGCTGATGGCGGCGGCTGGCAATAAGACAAGCAGGAAATGGCTCTCGTTTCCTTATTGCTCCAAACAGGATGTGGGCGTGTAAACTGTTGACATGGGATGCCCGGAGAGCTGGAGGGGGCTTGGAAGGAGCCCAGGAGGAGGCTGTGGTGGTGGAGGAGGAGCAGAAGAAGAAGGATGAAGAGGGGGACAGAGAGAGGGAAACGGGGAGAGATTCAGTTTCTTCAGAGAATATTCATGTTAGTCTTGTGTGTGTGTGTCACCAGTGTGTGTGTCCTGCGCTCATCAAGCTCTGTTATCTTGGTCAGTGTAGTCATAAGAAAGAAACACCCTTGGATTCATGATGGCTTCTCCTTCTTCTGTTTCTTTATAAATACACACTAGCTAGCTGCTAATCCTTTGGGCTAACAGGTCATATTGTTTTATAGCTTCCTAAGCAATGATGTAATGTAGAGACTAGTGGGGCAGGGAAACAAGAAAATGACTTCCATCAGCCTTTCTGTTGAGACTGGCCTCTCAGGCAGGGAGTAAAAGTAAACATGGCAGCCCATTTGCTTACAGGGGCCGGGAGAAATCCATCGGAAACATGGTCTGACACTCAAAATCAAACTTGAGACACATCAATAGCAGCGGCCCGAAGTTACCACCTTTCCAACTGAAGTTTGGAGTGATTCAATTATTAGTTATTACTCCCCCTTATTCTATATTCTCACCTTGAAGTGCGTCGAAGGCCACGTCTTTTGCATTAAAAAGAAAACTGTTTTTGTAACACCCAACCTAGCAAGCATTTTTGGAAAGCTTTGACATTTCTCCCCTTTTCTTTACTCTCTTCTCCTGGGGTGCAGGAATCGGAGCTGATCCCGCCCGGCCGCCATGCCGGAAGGCCAAAGACTTGAGAAAGGAGCGACGTCTTCAGAAAGACCAGATTAGACAAAACGCTGATGGAGTCCCCTCCATTGTCTCTCCTTCCCCCCCCACTGCGGCCCAGACCAAACCCCTGGAAGATTTCATCAATGAGTCACTGCCTGACAACTCTTCTCATTGCCTTGAGGTAAGCAGAAATCTAGAGTGGGTGCTTTCTTTCTTTTTAATGTGACTTGGAATAAGCATTAGCCTTTTGTGATGATTCCATCTTTTCATTTAGAAACATTTTTAGTTGAGCTCTCTCGATCCAAAATGTTTGGATTCAGTCATCTTGATTTTGGGTTTCATAGAGCCCTCTCCCCCTGCTCCAGTGACTTCACCATGTGTTTATGTGTGCGGAGAGGATAGCTGGCCAGAGCGGAGTGGAAAAACCACCTCTTCCTAGATCTAATTCAACCAAATGACACACACCACACAAACTGGGTCGCGTTTCCCTGCTGATGACATTAAAACCACAGCTCCCCGCTCCTGCTGTGAGAAGACATGGAAGTGAACTTTTGGCAGGGGGCATGACGATGCAGAAAGATCCCTGGCGAAGGCCTCGAGCTGAGGTTGGTAGAGTAACGTCATTCTTGGTATTGACCAAAATGTGAGCCAGATGCTGTGATGAACCCGGCAGTGTCTGTCTCTTGTCTACATGCCCCCCCCCCCGCCCTCCGAGACTACACCCGCAAGACCTCCCCCCAGTCTGCTCTCTCCTATTGGATTCATTATTTTGCCAGCAATTATTGTTCCATTTCACTAAGTGGGCATGAACACTCGGTCGTCCCTTGCAAAGGAAGGATAATTATACGTCTTACAAGGCTAATAATTGGAAGATGTCTCTATTTGACCCATTTAGCTGTTTATTACATGCAGCTAAGCGGCATCTGTTTTGTGGCTAACAGACAATTTGGAGGATAAGCAGTCGAGTGAATCTGGTTCTTAGTCCTGGGCTTCTGTACCGTTGACTGTTGCTACAAGTTTAAAGATTTCAGGAAGTCACAATCGGTAACAGGAAAAACCAAGTTTACACTACAGCATTAAAAGGAATAGTTTGGATTATTTACAGTTGGTTTGATTAAAGTACTTATGCATGGTCAGTGTGTTATCTACAGTTTAGGGCGGTCAGCACGTCCACAGATTGATTCAGCCTCACTTACACCTTTGGTGTTGTCATAGACTCACCTCTGCTCGCTTCAAGTAATTTCTCTCTTGCCATGGTTAAAACCTGGCGTCTATGAGCTTGGGGAAGTGTATTAGATTAAAAATGATTTTAAATGCATAACAAATGGATTTGTTATTACCTCAGTGCTTGTCTTAACTGCAGCTGTGGTTCCAGTAGTCTCCACTAGGGGTCAGTGTGAGATCGTGATTCAGAGCCCCCCAGGCACCTCAGGAAGGTGTGGAACTGTTCATCTCCTAAAGAGTCTTCTCTACTGTCTCCACACTGTGCTCATATTAAAAAAACGTTTTATTAATAAAATATTGCTTACATGTCTAGTATAGTATCTATCTATAATGATGTTCTGTAAAGTATTTGAGATCCAGGTTCATATAATTGGTTAAAGCTTTGATGCGCCATGATCTTTGATTTGAATGAAAGTAAAACAAAAAGCCTTTATTTATAAAGCAGTCAGGCTGTTGGTGTTACATTTCAAGTCTGTTATGGGAATTGCTAACATTTTAATTTCCATGCTCTCTACTCTCTGCTGCTGTATTGTTTCACCAAAGGGCTTTAACCCTATCCAAATATCTCTCAATGTAGATTGAAATTAAAAGGGTTGAGCTCCACCACTGTTCTTTTATGTAAGAGGCCCAACGTTTATGTTTCACTAAAGGATATAGATGCCAAGTCATATGAGAGAAACCCACTTTAGTCCAACTCAAACAAACCCCAGGTTCAATTCCCTCTATCCTGTCCCTCCAGGGGATTCAAATGGCAGATACTCTGTGGCCAACAAAAGCTTCACAACCATGAGATTGTTAATTAAAAAGGGCCGGGGGATTTAGAAGATGAAATCTTCTTTTAGTTTGGTTGACAATCGCAACATTCAGACCCTTTTCATTTCAGACACTAAAGTCCAATACTTTGATACTGATAGTGATGAATTGGCAGTTAAAACAATTCTGGATCGATATATCAGCGGATATACTATTTGTATTATTATGATAACGCATAACACATAATGGACATTGTGACCAAGATACATCCTGCCGGGGACATTTGACAGTTTTAATGTCAATGTGTCAGTGCTCTCTGGTGGACACACTTTATAATGAAGAAGACACTGTTTTTAAGTGATCTCAAATCTAGCTGCATTTCCAATATGTCCAAGTAGGTCTACAATAATATAATATTGGCTGATATTTATCAATCTAGCTCTACTAGAAATCTAGCTTAACTGAACAATGACCAATGAACAAGAGCAACAAATGAAAGCTGATTTGTTTCCCCTGAACTTTTCTCATGGTCAGCAAAAAGAATGTGGGGCTGTGAATGTTCGTGAAAATGAACATTGTTATTTATCTTTATATGATGGCATGGTGAAGCACTGGAAATGGCCCTTAATACACAATACGAAGAGAAGATGGAAACAGAAAAGGCTCATGATTATTCCTGCTCTACCTTATTTTTCTTTGACTTGATTGCTTGTTATTTAGTTATTTGGAGGAACACCTGCTGTTATTCTATGGAGATGGACACAACACAACCTCTTTGTATTATTCTTGTTTTCCAGTCAAGCTACTGCTAAGGCTACCAACAGCTGCCATTGGTGAAAATAACAAAACGTTTTCATCTTATTTGTAAGATGGTTCAAAATCTTCATAGGCGTGTCACCCATTTAAGAGGGTGTGTGTGTGTCCCTCTTTCCTTTCACACTCTTTTCGCTCTTCTTCCCTCTTTGATTTGTGACAATTTCTTCCCTTTGTTAAGGATTTGAATCACCACTTATGTCATTCTCTGTACTTTGTCCATTTTGATGTTAACCTTTGTCTGCCCGTATTCTTTTTGAAGGTGAGGCTAGTGCGCGCCAATCCCCCTAGCCCGCAGTTCAAAGCCTCTTTCGACGCCTCCTACCAGGTGTACAAACTCTACCAGATGGCCATTCACAAGGACCCTCCTGACAAACCCTCCGAGAGCCAGGTCAGAGGGTGGGGGGTATAGGTCGACCTGCTCTAGGGGTACAGAGGGAGGGAGGGAGGGAGGGAGGGACAGGGTCTACAAGTTTGGGCACCTACAGGGACATCAAAAGGATTTTTACCTTGGTCTAATCTCTTATGAATATTTTAACCTAGATTTATTTTTTCATCATATAATGGTCTAAAGTTTATAATTTCTTCAATGATTTCCTTATTTTAAGTGCTTATATTGTTTTATTTGAAAGAATGCAACAAAAGCAGTAGTTTTAATTTTTAAAAATTATTATTAGTCATTATTATTTACCAAAATAGTAAAACATTGTTTATACCTTAAAGGGTAACTTTAGTATTTTTCGACCCAAGTTGTTGTGTCTATATGACTAATTTGGACACCAGTTTGAAATTTGACGAGTAACAACTGAGATGGCCGCAAAAGGGCAGCGTCACTGTACATCCACTAAAACAGTTACATTTTTGCCGGTGCAGGCTCAGATTGTTTGTCTGACAACATTATGGAAAGGACCTTACAGAGAAATAAAGAGTTGTTCTTGATCCTGTCTAACCAAAACTTGCTCTGAACTCATAAGCTGCATCCACACAATCTAAATCAGCTCAATACTCCCCATTATAAATCTTTAGGGTTACACTACTTTTTCTATAATCCAACACCCAACTCTGACAACACCGGCACTCATATCTCTAACTTTCCCTCACCTTTCCACCATCTAGCATCAGGTCACGTGACACAATAACAAACAAACCTGATCTAGCTATACAAAACAAAAGGTTGTGCGATCCTTTCCATAATGTTGTCAGACACTTCTAATAACACTTTGAGCTGTCAGTGGCAAGAACAAGCATTTGTATTAAACGTATAAGGACTATTATTACTACTGTACATTGGACCAGTTCCAAACCAATACCAAAGTTACCCTTAAAGTTTGTAGTGGCTATTATTTGCATTTAAAAAGAAATGTCAAACATTTAACCCATTTCACATGTTTAAATCATAAGGAGCAGTCATAAATGTTCCGTATATATCTTCAAACTCTGACACGGGACATAGATTGTAGTAAATGAACTATTCATGCAAAAACATTGCAACAACAAACCGAAAGGCAGTTAGAAAGTCTCTGTGATTTCATAAAAAACTAAATTAACATGTCGGTATTTAAATGACTATGTATATAGAAGCGTGAATGAAAGGGAGAGGAAATGGGGGGGGGGGGGGGGGGAATGTTTCCATACGCCATGGTTGAGAGCAGTGTTTCTCCAGGTGTCTGAGTTGGCCCTCAGTCAGCCAGGTCTTCAGTCTTGAGCTGTTTTCGGTGTAAGGGGGGGGGGGGGCAGTTTGTCAGCTGAACCCTCTCGACCTTCACACATTTACCTCGTCTTCGCCCCCATCACTTCACCATCACCATAGTTCCCTGTGTCTGAACTGGAATTGCGTTTGAGGATTATGCAGTGATGATGAGATTCTAATTGTCTTTGTGCGTGCCGCGTCTGTTTTAACCTTGTTTATCTTCTCGAGAGGAGTCTGTAGAGCTGCAAGATTGTATATATGTCTTTCTGACATGATTCATTGCGACACAATGTTGGATTCTCTGCTTCCCCGGACTTTACACGCGCGCCGACAATGTGTTGAACCTTGAATCACCACTCCCCCTTATTAATATGCACTAGCCTCATCCTCAAGTCCTTTTATTACTTCAAAAACCCACTTTCAGTCTCCTAGAATCCTGTTGTTTTCTCGCTCTGTGTGTTCATTTTGCAGAACAATCTGATAAATACCCAAAACAACTCAAAACAGACCTGCTGTATTAGCTTCTGGCTTCGGGGTCTGGGAGACTGACGTGTACCCTATGATGCCAAAACACTTGTATAACACTGTTTAAAGCTTCTATTGTTGAGTCCTGCACTGTCAATTCCTCCAAAGCACCCATGCTTCCTCCTCTTCCTTTTTCTTTCTAACCGTCTTTGATTTGATTGTCAACCTTTATAAATCCTCCCTCCACACCCTGTGCTTGAAGGTGAGGCTAGTGCCGGTCAACTTTGAGGACCCTCAGTTCGCAGCGTCCTATCAACAGTCGGTGGCGCTGTACGCCCGCTACCAGATGGCCATTCATGGTGATGACCTCAGCGCATGTAGTGAAAGCGAGGTACTGCATGATTATTGTTCTGCACCTTCTGTACGGTAGGGCACTGCTGCACACGCTTGTTTCAGCATCTTGCTGCTGTCCTGTTGTGTCGTTTTTTAAAATTAGTTCTCGATATTTTTGACTGTTCTCTTTGATTTTTTCCCCTTTTTTTTCAATATATTCTGGGATTTTCAACATTAAAATGAATATCCTTATTGAAAAACTGTTTTAAAAAATGATGGATTCATTGATAATGAAAGTAAATCATAGTTTGGAAGCTAAATCATTATTTTAATTGATGATGAAGGCCATCAACAACTCCCAGTCCTTTACATGAGCAGTGTGCGTTCACTTGGGAGAATTGTAGCATTCATTGATCCCACGATTAATAATTTTGACGATTAAAACTTTGTTTTGCACATGGAAGGGGAAAGCTGTAACTTGAGACTCTACGAAGGAAAGAGAGACAGAGTTCAGTAGTTTTTGCAGTGAAAGAGAAGTATTGTCTAGTAATGAATGGAAATGGGAAACAGTAACCAGGTATAGATTAATAGTTTAAAAATGAATTTTAATGCACAGTTAATTGCACTATAAAACACCTCCATTTCTCCACTTTTACATGTTAAAAGAGAAGAAAATAAAGTCTAGTCAGGATGCAGAGGTGCTGGACATTCTCACTATCCTGAGAGGGCCTTTTGTCCCTCAGGGCTGGAAAAACAACCTCCTCCTCCACCCTCCTGCCAGCAGGCCTCCGTAAATTACTGAGTTCTCCAGCTTGTAAAAGTAAGGTAATTAATAAATAATAAAAGCTGTCGGATTGGGCAGACCGTGGCAGATTCTTTCCTAATGCCATAATAACACCAGCTCTATTAAAGGGAACGTGTGTGTTTGTGTGCGCTTCGGCTCCGGTTTATAACTGTACCGGGATCAGATGGGTTCAAGAACTAGCAGAATAATTACATTTTTGTATTAAAAAACGAAAAGGTGTGAGGCTCCGTAAACAAATCGTCTGTCTGTTGGGTTTACCAGATCATAAAGATTTTTCTTTTTAATGATGGACTTTCCAGGTTGGATACTGACTGAATGTAGTGTTAAGCACAGAGTGAAATACGGTTGGGTTAATTACGTTTAAAGGCCTTTCATTGTAATTCAACTTGGCAGCCCCACCATAGGGAATTGTATAACAAGTGCTTGAATATTTTTTATTCGGACGCTTTTATAAAGATGATTGTGTGTACAATTCATAAGCCATAGTCACGCCTGGTTATAAGCTGAGGGATTTGGTCACAATTGGACAGCTCTTAGTACGTCTGTTCACACCTGGCAATATAATGCATCTCCACAGGGTGACCTGCTGTGATTGGATCTAACTACCCCATGCTATATGTCAATAAACACATACATCATTTGTTTTTAACCGCAGCAATTAAAGAAGAATCAAATCAAAACAGGCTGGGTGTATTGCCTGACATATTCCACAAAAACAAAATAGCCAAATGTGTTTTACGCACTCATAATAACTCTCAATGGGTTTTCAGAAATTCATCATTGACAAAATCAGTGATTTGAAAACCAACTGAAGATGAAAATAAGGAGGATCAGCTTTTAAATTATGAAAAAAAAGTTGTTAAATGCGTTCCAAACCACATGGGCAAGAGGTTTGAGCAATCAAATTACAAAATGTGTGAGTGGTCGTTTAGCGCTGTCCACTTCCCATCGCCCAAGATGTCTATTAAAACCAAGTGTAAGCAGGGTTATACATTCACACATTTTCTGTGCTACATAGCAATATTCTACATTTTTTACACTATTTATATTTTGACAGACACAGAGACGACTCCACAACGCTCCAGCCTCCTTGGATTGGCAGCTTTGAATAATGGCTGCTGTTGTCTCATTAATGCCAGAATTGGTGATGCCATGCTGTCCCTTCATTGGATTTGTCTCATTCCTCTGAGGTTTATTTGTGCGTAGTCATCTCTAATTGTTCCAATTTAAGTTAATCTAACTTCATTATAGGCAACTTCCCTAAATTGGACTCACTGTGACAACCTCTCCTGAGCCCACAGTGCTAAACACTACTGATTTTTATTTTGTTCCACGTCAAGCTTCTGGTTAACTCTCCAGTTGTTTTCCCAGAAGCTCAGAGCTCCCCTATTGTCCTGTGGCCCTATAAAGAAATGAGAAACACATTGTTGATGTGGTGATGGCACATGTTGGTGTCATGCCATTTTATGCCTGCTGCTGCTACCGAGAAGTTGAGTCATTTAGGATCTGTGGAGGTATTTATTAATCCATTAAAGTATTACCTAGGGGCTGAGTGTGGAATACCGCCATCCTGGCTCAGAGCCAGGCGGTGTGTGTGTGTGTGTGTGTGTGTGTGTGTGTGTGTGTGTGTGGTGTGTGTGTGTGTGTGTGTGTGTGTGTGTGTGTGTGGTGTGTGTGTGTGTGTGTGTGTGTGTGTGTGTGTGTGTGTGTGTGTGTGGTGTGTGTGTGTGTGTGTGTGTGTGTGTGTGTGTGTGTGTGTGTGTGTGTGTGTGTGTGTGTGGTGTGTGTGTGTGTGTGTGTGTGTGTGTGTGTGTGTGTGTGTGTGTGTGTGTGTGTGTTGGTGTGTGTGTGTGTGTGTGTGTGTGTGTGTGTGTGTGTGTGTGTGTGTGTGTGTGTGTGTGTGTGTGTGTGTGTGTGTGTGTGTGTGTGTGTGTGTGTGTGTGTGTGTGTGTGTGTGTGTGTGTGTGTGTGTGTGTGTGTGTGTGTGTGTGTGTGTGTGTGTGTGTTGCCAAAATTGTCAAAATTGTACTACTATTAGATAGTACAATGTCCTAGAGGGGAATGGCTTTGTTTGTTTAAGGGTGTAAGCATTTCCTGTCATACCATGACTGGAAAGGAGCCAGACATGATTTCTTCCACATCCAATCATGGTTTTCCTGACAGAGTTGCAGCACAATTATTTAGACATACACGTGCATATACACACGCGCACACTCTAACTCACACTTACTGGTCTTAACTGTTTTGCTGAGCCGTGACTCTGAGTTCCTGCACATGTGGCATTCATTTTGAAGAAAACAAATTCTGTTAAATCTGTATTTACTCTTCTTGAAGGCCAGGACCTTAACCAAGAAATGCGAAAAGAAAAAAAAGTATATGGAAAAATCTGCTAAATGGCAACAAATTAACTTGAAAAAAGGAATGAAGAAAATAGCTTTTGGCTCAGATTGGTTCATAAACCAATTGCAACATAAATATGTACAATACAAAAGATGTCTTATATCAGAGCACATAGCATTTTGTCTATTAATCTGTGATTTGCAGCTAGGTTTCTGGAGCTTCTCTGCTGCACACTTAACTAAACCATTATCTAGTCAGCAAATGTTTGGCTAGGACAGAGAAAGACTTTTTTTTTAACGTGAAGAGTTCATACAGTAACAGTAAAATGTTGCTAAAATAAGTACAGCAAATCGAGCGAGTAAGGAGCACAATGACTAGAGGTCTAAGTAGCAATTAGTCTTAAGCAGATGCGTGTGTCTAATGTAACTATGTGTGTGATGGAAGACGCGATAGCTTGTGTGTGTGCGTGCTTTCAAAACGGCTGCTTGCCCTTCTAATGGTACACAGATGAGTGTTTACTATAGGAAAGGGAGAGTTAGAGAGGAAGTGATGGACTCCATGTGTTGCACATGAGAACGTTCCAGAGGGCAACATGGACACGGCTCTGTTTACCGGCATGTGTGTTGTTGTATTAGAGATACAGAGAGGAAGCTGGGATTGTATTCACATGTTTGTACCCTTGCTGCCTTCATGCCCGAGTGACTGCGCTTACACATTAGACTGACTATCTCCTGCCCGGTCTGTGTGTGTTAATTACTTTTGGCTTTTTGATTGTGTCCGTGTCAGCCTGGTGGTCTGTTGAGTGTCAGTGGCTAGAGAGGAGTCAGTCCTGCCAGGCTCCAGGAGAGCGGCCTCACCCAGCCAATTAAGTTTACACAGCAGTGGAAAGCTGCTCCTCGGCTCCTTGGTATGATTTCCCACATCCAAGAATGCATTTGCATTCATTAACGGGCTCTAATGTGAAAGAGTTCTCACTTTCCATTGGCTAATCGAATAGCATTTTAATACAAGGTCAATTGTCGTAGCATTGGCTCTATAAATGATGTCATGTAATAACTGCAGCTGTTGTTTCGTAAACCATTTAGTTTTATTTGTAAGGTTTAAACTAAAGTTTCATTTGTGCCCTTAGGCAATATTGCACAAATTGGGAGTCTTTGCTGTTGGTCATTTGTTCAATTGGCAATGCAGTAGTCAAGTTAGTAGAGGAAAAATACACTTCTTTACTGGCTTGGACACACAGGTGGGGAACATGATAAGCATTGTTTTGCACGAGAAAGATCATTATCAACAGAACACATGTAGTTTCTACAGTCTTTCCACATTGAGCATTGAAAGTCAGTCCAGCAGAAAGTCCCACATCATCATCAGTTACAGACTGAAGACCCACCTGTTCCGACTGCACCTTAGCTAATAAAACAATACAAAATACCCTTCTAATATCTGTTTGTAGGTTTCTTCATTTTAAGCCAGTCCGTTGTTAAATTGGTTGGCTAATTGAAAGCTAATATAGTTTTTAGGTTTGCATATTCCTCGTTGATCGCACTTGGAAGTGGTATCTAAAACGAATGCAATTGTAATTTAAATGTGTAGAAAATGCTGTTTAGCAGTATAGAATTAGAATACATTTAAATAAAAATAATATTAGCTCTTTACATTTGAGCTTGTTTATAACATTGAAATAGTAGTAGTTTGACAATAACAAGGTAATATTTAATAGCAACAATGATTTACAAGATTAATAACAAGGGAGTAGCCTGGTGTTAAGTATGGATTTATCCGGTTGTTATTAGTTAAATGTATTTAACAGAATTATTTGGATGCCAAAAATAAAGGGTAATAATGAGAAACTATTTTAATGACAGCAAAAATTAATACTATTTAGTAAGAGTGTATTTTGGTCACAATTTGGTAACTTGCTAACAAAAAACTGGTTTAATATTGTGCATATGGTCATACATTATTGGGGTAATAATCTGATAATAATGAGGAAAAATAGGTTGACGTTTTCACAATATAAAAGGTTACTATTAGGGCACACTTATACCTTAAAAATCCAAAGAGTAAATAAACATTGGAAACCCAAATTAGGAATATATTTGCATATTTGAGCTTTCCTGATATTGGGCTTATATTACCGAAATTACGTATCATAAATAGGACGATATTACCCGGTTATTACTTTGGTAATTGCATGGTTTTCCTTTACTTGTCCCTATTTCATATTAAAATATGACTCCACTATTACCATGTTATTAAGTAGTATTTGTAGAGTTGCCATCTACTGCTACTTAAAGTTATCTTGGCTCAATGGGGGTTGCAGTAATTTCAAGTGATACTTTGCAAGTGCACATGGCCCTTATTGCCTAGAGCAGCAGAATGTAAAGGTACAAATTACATTTTATTACATATTGTTGTATTTGAGCCATTCTGTCTATCCCCCCCTCCTCTCCCGGTGTGAGGTTTAGTCTGGTAAAAGCAGAACTGTGCGTTGCATCTTGCTGAAGTGTTCAGCTCTGCAGGGTGCACAGTTTGTGAGTCTTTTATAGCTCACAACAACAGCTCGCAGCAAGAAGTGCATTTTTCAGTTATGTGTTTGTTCAGTTCTGTACACTAGCTGTCTTCCTTCTCGAGCCTCATGTCTAATAGATTTACTTATTTTCCTGACTGGTGCTTCACTAATAATTTGTGGATTTAGTCATTTTTATGACAAGAATCCAACTCAAGTGGGCGAGTTTGAAGGGAGCAAAACAGTTTGCTTCAGGCAGAGGTAAAATAGAAATGACAGATGACAGTGCATCATTTGTTAGCCCTGCTCTGCCAAAATGTCCCCGTGTTAGAGAACACCGCGTTGGTGTCATCAACACACACGTCAGCTGTGGCAGGCACACAGAGAATCACACTCTTTTTTTGGATGAGTGCAGGATACTGGCAGGACTTTGAGTTGCACTTAAGCTATGACTGTCCCACCCAATGAACCCTGCCTTCAGCAGGCTGTGCTATTACTAGCTTTACTACTGTCTTCATAGAAACAAACAAAAAGAAAAGGTGGTTGTGGGTTTTCCAGTTACTTGTGTAACTTATTAGTTTTGATAAGAATGGGAGACATATTTTCTGTCCCAGTATTGGGCTGTACAGAGCTGTGTACAGAATTACTCTGATGAATCCATTTATTGACCAAGACCTATGTGAGAGTCTAGTCTTAGGTCATGAAGGGCAGAGACGCTTGTTAGCCGAGAGACACGGTTCAATTGAGGAACTAAACTAGCCAAAACAAACTGCATTATTAAGGAGTCTTAATGTACCAGCATCATTTAGCCTGTAAAAGTACACAAAAATCACCATTCTGTTCTTGACCCGGTTTGAGAATGGCAGCTCATGTTTTGTTCAAAGTAAATTCAAAGGAACAGATCTTTAAGCATTTGTTCTTTCCTACAGACGCACTGTCTTTAGGAAAGAACAAATGCTTAAAGATCTGTTCCTTTGAATTTACTTTGAACAAAACGCTTTTTAAGCATTTCGCCCACTGCTAACCTTGCTAACCTACATCTATAATTAAAATAAGTAACTTTTCACATCATTCTGTATTTCACTGAAGAACACCGAACAAACTATATCCCAAAAGTCAACAGGTCACAATAAGCTATAACACTGAGAGGCTTTTCTTATGCAACTACATTGAAAAATACCCAGACATGGAATAACGAACTACAAACTATAAAACAGTGTGTTTAATTATTTTCAAGTAGTAAATGTTGATTAGTTATTGGATTGTTTTATCTTCTTTGGTGTCTAAAGGCTTCTTGAGAGCAGCAGAATTTGGACTTCAGTTAGTTGTTACCTCAACCGAACATCTGTCAGTCGAAACATCTGGTTGATGCGGTTGAATGTTCGTAAGCATTGTGTTTCTACGTTGTAGATGACCAGGAGACACTTGGTGGGTCTTCCAGTTCAAGTGGTTTACACTGAAATCTGTTCGACAATCTGCTTATTATGCTAATTAGCATATGTTGCCAACGGCGTACAGCTAAAACGTTTCTGAGTGGAACTTGTGGTTTTGAAATTTGGTTCCACATTACGTGCATCTACATACTGTGTATTCTGTGTGTGGCTAAATGCCCCAATCAGCGGCCCCCTGTCCCGTGACTTTTTGATAACCTAAAATCAGTACCAGCCCTAAACATAACTCATACCCTCTTGTTTAGTTAGTTATTCTGAAACCTCTCCATCCTACGTTTATGATACTTGCTATTCTAGACTCCTGTCCTGCTCACCAGAGAGAGGAACAAAAAGGTTGAACATCTCTGCAATTGAAAGACACAGCTGTGAAACATTTTTCCTGTGAAATATGAACTTGAAACTGTGGTGCGGTGCATGAGGGTGAGATAGAGCGAATAAACCAAAAGCTGTCCATCACTGCTCCACTGTGGCCGAGCTGGTTCTCATTATGCGTCGATTTTGGCCCTAGACATGGAGGTATGCCCCGTTTGTCTTCCAGTACTGCTTGTCTGTAAACACACTGCTCTCTACCTTGGTGGTAAAAAAGGAGGAGGAAATAGTAGAGAGAATGGAAGAAAGATTTAAAGTTTCTAAAGTCCCCCAAGTAATTGATATCTCATGCGCATTTAAAAGTGTGTTCAGGGGAATGCTATTTTGACGGCAGCTCTTATTATTTAAGTTGTCACTATGTCCTCTCCGGACTGTGTGTTTCCCTTGATAGGCTAAATGTTTTCATTTGTGTAAATACAATTTTCCTTTTCATGTCCCTTTTGTGAATGAGGGGGGGGGGGGCTGCATATGATATGTGACACCTCGGTTAGGAGAAAAGAGAGAGACATAAACTATATAGGCGAGCCAGGGAGACATGTATGGTTTTCATTTCTGCTTTTTCAAGAGAGTTGGTGACCCAGAATACTAACTATTTTTCTCTCTGTTCCCCCCCCCTGCCTCACTCCACAGTTCCGGAGATTTCTCTGTGATTCACCACTAGAGGTATGTATTTCCTTTGGCCTGTTGACAGTTTAATAAAACCACCTTTTAAAATGTCTCCCTTCATCCATATGTGTTACTACCTGTAATGATTTAACAGCACCGAAAATGTCCTCCCGGTGAAATTACTGTCATGGTGATGATGATAATGTTTGGAAAAATGTCCACTTTCAGTATTTAGTTCTCCATCAAACACGCTCAAAGGACACGAAGGTTCACTTAGTTCCTCTCCTCCAGCACATACCTACCCGACCACCTTTGCTCTCGCTCTTCAAGAGCCCTCCAGCTGGATTGGAGGGGGGTTAAGGGATTCAGGAAGAGGTTTTTGTTTCATATCAGAGGGGTTTTAATTTAGTCCTGTCCAAGAGAAAGGGGGTGTTGAGGGAAGAAAATAGAAAAATGTGGTGTCCAGATTGCGTTGTGAGCACCAGAGACTTTCCTCTGGCATTCACAGAATGGGACACACTACTGCTCTTCATATTACAGATATGTGTTTGATGAGACAGCTTTGTGGACTTCAATTAGGGACCTACAGTAACATATGGTTACAAAAACAAGTTATTGTTTAGGCATCATGGGAAATGTCTATTGTCTCCTGGTGCATTGATACAATCTTGAATGAAATCCATTGGCTGATTAGATGCTTTTTTTTAGATGCTTCAAATATGATGGATATTGATGGCATTTGGAAAAGGATTCAGTGTTAAGCTATGGTATTCTCTGTGATCGCTGAGTTGGATGTGGAAGCAGCAAGGCCTCACTGAACACATAGCAGTATACTAGAGTGTTATTTTATTTATTCAAAATAATTGTAATTAACAGAAAACACTACCATTTCCGTTACTTCTACGGTGGCTGACAGGTGCAAATGCGTTACACTGGCCCAAAACACTTCCATCAGGAGATTTGCTAGGTTAGCTAGCTAGCAAATCTGCAATACTATCGGAAGGAATCATGTGATAACATTGTTTAAATAAGGCAATAAAAGTAATTTTTTTATTAAACGCTGCACGTTTCATCAAGTTGGTTCCTGTTTTCTAAAGAGAGTTGGTGAGGATGCATGTGTTTTGGCACATTTGTGCTTTTATATTATGATTGACATTTTCCTTGTGTTTTGGGCAGTTGTAGCGCCTGCACCTGTCATCCATTGTCCTTCTCTCTTTATAAAATGTAGTATCTCTATTGAAATAACTATAACTCCATTTGGGTTATAGGATTTTCTCAATCTCTAACTCAAGCAAATGTATTCGAGAGAGACAAGCTCTGCCGCTGTGCTAGACATAAAAAAAACAGTGCATGTAAATTTGACTGGCATAGATTTTGCTATATTTTAGATTGATGGCCATTCAAGCTGCAGATCGACAGAATAAGGATTGATCGGAGTAAATCCCTTCTTAGCAGGCTTTTTGAGCTGCAGCCTTTAGAAACACCATTGGACCTGTTGGGTCAGAACAATTACACACTTAATTAGACCCAGGATGGGCACTTATACCAGCCACTTTAATAGGACTGAGGGCGAGGAGCACACACAAACTGACGGACACACAATAACAGTCACTCGGTGTTGCTCTGTGGGCCCCCTAAGGTCTCCACTAATGAACATCATTAGTGTTTATAGGAAACAAGCTTTTATCACCTCGTCAAGGCTGGCGGCCTGGCACTCTGAATTACACACTTCTGCACACACACACATAATGTGGCACACTGCCTCACATATCTTCCTTCGCCATCCCTTCCTCTTCTTCATTCGTTTGGCATCCTCTCGTCCAAAGGGTTTTTATTCCTTTCTCTGATCTTCCTCTCTGTCTTCTCCTGTCTCTCTCCAAACACTCTCCTTTTCAGAGGGATTATGTGTGGCTTTCTGCGCTACCTGTGCATGTCGGCCTCATCTGTCTCCAATCAGAACGCTATTAAAATACACAAACACACACTCACCACATGGACCTTTATACTGTGTGGTTCAGCTCACATGTAATCCTCCATTTATACAAATGTATGCAAACGGCATAATTACAAATCCAACTAATTAGCATGCACGTTGTCTGACTTGTTTGTTTAATTTCCCATACAATTCTGAGATGTCATGCTGAAACTGAGGTAATGAACAGCCTAATTGTTTTAATCCACATGTAAACATATTTGTGCATTCTGATAAACAGTGGCTCGTATACATGCAAACATGATGAGCAGCAGTCATGCAGGTGTCTGTCCCTGCCTCAGTGAGGCCTCAGTGGCAGAGCTGTGCTGGACAAACTTTAGCTTTTATAGGCTGTGTGGGGGATCGTGCACTCATTCTGTTTCTATTTATTTTTCTTTACAGCTCCTAATGTGCCTAACCAAGGGGCAAACACTCATTAACAGGGCTGTTGGCCAATTACTCACTACCTTTTTTATGGCCACGGCTCTCAGTTTTTTCTCCCTCTGTCCTTCTGTGATTTGGTGTTTCTCTCTTTCTCTGAGAAATAGAGAAACACATCACCAGGGAGAGAACCAGCTGACATACATCACTGTGAACACACATGCCTCCCCAGCTAGAAATGTTTGGTTCTAAAAACATTCTGAGAATGTTACCATTCATTGTTCGAGGAATGTTTTCAGCGGGAAGTTTTATTTTGGTTCCCAGAATGTTCTTCTGAAAGCTAGGATAACGTTCTCTAAAAACATTCTTAAGCTGTTTTTGATAACATTGTTCGAACTACTATTCTTAACCTGTGGGGGGCTGCAGGTTTTTTTTTCTTCACGAAACTGTGTCTCAGGGCTTCTTAACATTTAACAACCTATTAATGTGTCATACCCACTTAACGGGAAGAAACTCAGCTAACTGACGATACGAACCATTTTTACCGAAACAAAACAAGCCCACAAGAAGCATCTAAATGAGCCCTGAGTGTAAAAAATGCTAACGCACTTAGCGCAGAACTCACGGTAGAAATACTTAATCACTTATCGGATCTGCACAAACAAGATATCAGATTTAAAGCTGAGATTCCACAGATTCTAAAAGTATTAGTATCATCACTGTGCGATCAAACCCAGACATCACACCACGTAGCTTTACGGAGCAAAAACGGCAAATAGTCTTACCTTTGCTGTTGTTCTGATCAAAAGTTGTGTTCAATGGCATTAAAATGATAAAAACGCTGCTGAAGGTTAGTCCAATGTGTCTGTGTCACTTTGAAATGATTACTGATAATCCATCGTCATATTTATGGCAAAAACCGAGTTTTCATGTATAGCTGCTATGATAGCTACGAGAGTGTATGACAGCTTCCGGTTTTGGGCATTCTGGCTGCGCATCACTCTATTCCCCAATGGGTAATGTTTAGATGGATTTTTAGGAACTTCCCCTCGATTCTATTGGCTCTAACGGTTAAAAGGAGGTGTCAATCATCAAAATCGACCGGTGGGTTCCAGAGATATGGAAAATGCACCCAAATGATCCCAGAAGTGGGTTTTTTCTCTAAATCTCTCTAAAAAGGTCAAACTTCACTTGTTTTGCATCAATCTTGATACAGGGTACTTATATGTTATAGTTTGGATTCCTAAAACTTTTAGTCTACTAACCCATCATTCAAGGTGGTTTTCACTATAAGTAATGTATTTTTTTTGGACGGACAGTACTATTTTTTTACTATGTTCAATCTGAATTTACTTTAAAATAAAAAAAGTATTGATTCTGACTTTTCTACATCCAACTCACAGGTGTATCATTGCTTTGAGAACAAAGATGATTCATTTACCCCTTTTTAGAAGTGAAGATATAGTCATTTTGTTCTGGGAATGACATTTTCGAGCCTGACACCTGAAAAATAGGCTCAGGGCATAACGTGTTTTCAGCTGCAAGTGTTCCCAGAATGTTCTTCTGAAAGGTAGGATAACGTTCTCTAAAAAAAATCTTAAAATGCTTGGTAATAACCTTTTTTAAATGTTTTTGATAACATTGTTAGAACATTATGCCCTACTATTCTTAAAACGTTTTCAGCTGCAAGTTAGATTTTTTTATGTTGCCAGAATGTTATTATTTTAGAGTAGGATCACGTGCTTTATCGTACTGATTTATCAGAAGTCTCTTTTTAAAAAAAAGAAAAAGCTGCGACCTGCAGCTAGTACAAGTCACTGTCGGTGTCACATGTACTGGAGGGGACCCAGAATTAGACTCGCAATCAGCTGGTGAGCGTAACATTTGTTTATCAGAAAAGGGGAGCTGGGAGTGGAGGTTGGTTATGGCGGCAGTGGGAAACAGTTGTTCCAGGGTGGAGAGGCATGGCTGGTCTTGGGAGTGTGGAAGGCCTTGGATTCCTCCTGGGAGAGACACAATAATGAGTGTGAAGTATAAGCAGGCAAAGTTGTCAAATAAATCTGCTGGCAAAAAGCTAGAGCGGCACGCAACAAACCGTTCACGGGAGAGATAGAGAGAGACACACAGTAGAAACAAACACTAACAGGGGTTTCAGGGACGGGCAGTGACAGTCGGTCCATTCTTCTATACAGTATGTCTGTCGGTCTCAAATCTAAAGGGTGCTATTACGATTTCCATCCACTATGCATAAACAGTGGACACTGTTTATACGCAGCCCTCACAAACCACACACAGCCTTTCAGAAGAACATTCTGGGAAACAAAATATAACGTCCCGCGGAAAACATTCCTCGAACAATGAATGGTAACATTCTCAGAATGTTTTTAGAACCAAAAACGTCTAGCTGGGAACTCACACATGCCACCGCAAACATGCAATATCTGCTTACAGCTTATCATGAATTACGTGCTTGCTTGTTTTTTTCAGAAGGAAAATGTGGTGACATCAGATTTTTTAAAACATCCTTTCAAACAAATGCAACAACTTGTGTTTTATGACAACTTCTGCTCAATTCTGTTTGTTGTAAAGCACTTTGGCACAAACCTGGTTTGTTTTTTAAAGCGCTCTACAAATAAATCTGACGTTGACGATGACCATGTTAATATTTCGCATCCCAGGAACGTTTTATACAAATCTTTCTGTCATCTCAGGCCTTAATAACATCCTCAAAACATCCTCTGAATGTTGCAGTTAAAACGTTATGTCTTAGTTAACCTTAAACCTTATAGGAACATTATTTAAAATGATAAACATCCCCAAAAGATTCAAACGTTTTCTTTAAAACGTTATCAGAACCTGTAGGTAACGTTAGCCAAAGTTGTGAGAATGTTCCCTGCTAGCTGGGTCAGCTGTAAGCTGAAAACGGAAAAGAGTTAAACAACAGGACAGCTCTGTCAGGGACTTAAGTGCTAAAACAAATGTGCATATATGTGCATTCTGACATGCACATGATAGTGTTGCTCATATGCTACACCTGCAGCCTTTCATACCGGGTTCTGTGTTCATTTGCTGTTGTGAGTGCATGACATTTGTGAGTGAAAGAAGGAGAGACTTTGAAATATGTGAGTTCAACATCTGTTGTGAGTCAGTGCCAGAATCACTGGAGCGTCATTGCTTCTTTACTGTAGCACTAACAACCTTGATGTTGCACAAAGTGGTAACACTGTAAACCCTTATTTTCGACTGATATATATATTTAGCCCTCAACAAACTAGATAAGGTTTGTTTTTAGCCTAGTTGATGTTTGGAAAGTCCTTTTGCTTCTGAAGCAATTGTTGATCTCTTGCAGCCCGATTGGCCGGTTAAAAGGAGTGAGAAGTCAGCAGTTAATAATGGTATAAAACACTCAATAAAATGGGATTTTCAAAATGGATGATTCACCCAATATGCACATAAAATATTAGAATGATGTGTCCAATTGGATGCGAGATGAGCTGCAGACACACAAACTAATTCTCCCCACATGGTTGAGCCTGGTGGAAATAATAATACAAGAAAAAGTACAAATAAATACGATAAATAAAAACACATGAGGATCAATAGCAACATTTCCTGAAAAACAAGTAAGTCACCGTAAATGAAACCAGTCTCATACCAAATACCTTGTGACTATTGTTGTGAGGAGATGGAATAAATCCAAAGCCATATTCAAAAATCTATTCTTCAACTAATATCTGCCACATCTTCTTGGCACAAGCCAAGTCTTTCTCCAATCTGCCCTTGGATTTTTTTTTTTAAACAACCGCTTTGGTCACGTTTTTTTTATCTGAAGTTGAAACTTTTGAACTCAACTGTATTTGTGTCTTTTCACTTGGCCCTGAGGACATTTGTGTCTATTCACGTCTTTGCCTGAACTCACCTTAATAGCAATATTGAGGTAGAATTAGCTAAAATAAGTAAATCAACACATTCTATCAACTTTGAACAGTCCAAGAAAAGTTTCAGTATTGCATACTAGGTTACAGATTCTGAAGATTTTAAATGGTGGAAACCAAACATGCAGTATACCACCTCCCCACTTTGTCCAGACGTGCACCCTGCCCACACCACCCTGTATTTGAGGCCATATGAGAGCGATTTGGGGCTGCAGGGGAAGCTCTGAGGTGGTTTAAAGTGTTCCAGAGAATGTTTAGATTGTTGTCACAGTGGCAAGGACACAACCATTAAGCTGTCGTCTGAGGTGACGCACAGGTCAGTCAGACAGAATCGGCCTTGAAAGGGGGAACAAACAAGCAAACCCAGACAGACGTTACTTATATCGCACACAGGCATTTACATTTATATAACTGTGCCCAAGCATGTATACTGGAGGTGGGGTAAAGGGAAAAGATCTCCCTCTTTCACTCTGATCACCTCACGCTCTTTCCCTTTTACTTACAACTTCTAAACTGACAGAGGGGCCTCTGACAAAGCCTCCAGTGTTTCTAGGGGAACCGGTGCCAAGAAATAACAGGCTGCCTGCTTTCACAGACGGACAGTTCCCTCAACACACACACACACACACACACACACACACACACACACACACACACACACACACACACACACACACACACACACACACACACACACACACAGCCTAATAGAGTGCAGTGCTTGCTCCAGATGTGATGCCTGTCACCCTTCAACACCCCTAGCTTTCCTCTTATTAACTTTGATTTTTTTTTTTTTAAATCATCCCTCTTTTTTGCCTCAATTCACATCATCTTTATCTTATAATATATCATATCTCCTCTGATGTGGATCAGCATTTAGACAATTTAATCATCCCCTCCCACTCAACTTCCCATACACAGAAGTAATGGACTGGCGTATATTGTGTCTGACAGGTAATCAGAATTGAGTGTTCATGGGGCCAGATATCATTATATTTTTTTACTAACAGCTCTACTCAAAGCTACTAGATGTTAATGGCCGATGTGGTTTTGTTTGCCGGATTGAAGACTGCATTTCCCATGAACACCCCTGCCTTGTGTTGTAAAGTAGCATTTGGTTTGGAAGCAAGTGAAAAGTGATCCATTCGTTTTACTTTTTCATTTTTTAAAAACCAAACTTAGCCAATGAATCAGCTAGCTTTCTTTTAAATGTATTTTATAAATACAATAGACATAATACATACCACTCAAGGAGGAAAAGGAACAATTATCAAACCGTTTTTAATATGTTCAAATCCCACAATTCTCCTGATTGGTTGAATGACCAACCAAAGTTGACTCGCCCCATGTTCCTTCTTGCTCTTTCAAACGTTTTCTTTTTTTTTCTTTGCTAAATTTCCTCCAGCATCAGCCATAACCGCAATATCATTTAAAAAGTATTTCTTATTAACTGCCAAACGTCCTACACGCTGACAAACTTTTCATGCGAGAATGTAAACATAGACTCTCCTTTCTGCCATAAATCCTTTGCTGGGAATTGGACCCAGTGACAGGCATTAAGAATAACTTTAGAAAATGTGCTTGCTGATGGACATTTAGAAGCATCACTATTAAAATCAGACTGTTTCATAACCAGGCAAAAACTCCTTGTGTTTTTTAAAAACCTTACATGGTACTAAAGAGGAATGTGGCAAAGAGTCTCCCTGTGGGTGAAGCTTATCCCTTTGGTGTGTGTGTGTATTGTTTTTATTTGGCCAGGTTTAATTTGGTCAGAGTTAAGGCCCAGTGGCGCGATGGATTAGCGTGCTAGCTCTCTCTGTGTTGTGATAACTAGCAGCGTCTGCACTACTTAACTGAGTCCAGATGAATGCTGGTAAAGGAGAAGGATCTTGTTACTATATCACTGAAGAAAGACACACACACTCACACACAAACACACACACTCCACACAAAGCAATACCCTGGCTTACTTTGACTTTTAACCTTAACCCCAAGACTCTCGTCTTAAGCCTCTGTGATAACACCAGTAAAGTGACTCGATTGAAAAACCCAGCGTGTGGATTTGAGATGAGAAAACGCAACGTGTGTCAAACACTTAACGCTTTTATTAATGGTGGTAGACTCGAGCATGCGGGTGGACACCTACACCCACATTCTTTCATGCCACATGGAGAGAGCAGACACAGACATATAGGAGAAAGCTTGGCAACACTCCACTGCCGCCTGGTGAAATGGATTTTGCTCATGCAGGGTCTTTTATTAAAAAGTCCTCTCCTGGAGTGTTTCTGTGGCCAGAACCCCCCCCCCCACTCCAACTCCACCCTGCTCCTGCTCTCACTCCACATTTGGGAGCCATTAGCAGGCTGAACGTGAGGCTACTGTACACCCCCACACATAATGTGTGAGGCCTGGCAGGGAAAAGCCTGGATTATCATACACTGCCATACAGGTGTGTGTGTGTGTGTGTGTGTGTGTGTGTGTGTGTGTGTGTGTGTGTGTGTGTGTGTGTGTGTGTGTGTGTGTGTGTGTGTGTGTGTGTGTGTGTGTGTGTGTGTGTGTGTGTGTGTGTGTGTGTGTGTGTGTGTGTGTGTGTGTGTGTGTGTGTGTGTGTGTGTGTGTGTGTGTGTGTGTGTGTGTGTGTGTGTGTGTGTGTGTGTGTGTGTGTGTGTGTGTGTGTGTGTAAGTAAAAACAGTCCCATTAAATACCACATTCTCATTCCACTGTGATTTATATATTTGACATACAAACTATATGGCACACAAGAGTTTTACTATGGTTTTGACCAATGACCACGTTCCCTCTTGTGTTTTTCCTCTCGTTGCCTCTGCTCAGGCGGAACATTCTCCAGATGGGCCCGAGGAGGGCTACGGCTCCTTCCATCAGCAGTACTGGCTGGACGATCGCATCGTGGCGGTGGGGGTGATCGATATCCTGCCTACCTGTGTGTCCTCGGTCTACCTGTACTACCACCCAGACTTTTCCTCACTGTCTCTGGGCTCCTACTCTGCTCTCAGGTTGGTTTCACATGCTCCTCAGATCTCAGACACATTTCCCAAGTTGAGAAGCTTCCAACTTTAGTCAGTTTGAGTTTTGTGACCATGCTATCCAAGCGTGCTGGAACAGTTTGAAGCTTCATAGAAATGATTATGTCCCAAACATGTTGCTGCACCAGTACATTCCCTAAAGCTTTTAAAATATTGCCCATCACTTTTTTGCAGATTTTTGTAAATTGATGTAGATAGCAAGCACCAACTGCAACCTATCCACTATTATAAATTACATGCGAGCAAAAAAATGCAATACTTGATTTTGTAAAGTCTATCTCAATCATCCCATCTACTTTCATCCACCAAGTCAAAATGTGCACTTGTTGCGACTTGAAAGGATCGTTCATGAGAATTTCTCCTGTCAAGAACACATTTTTTTATATTTATCCAACAGCTCATGAATGCAGCATTTAGACACTCATCGATAGTTTTCTATAGTTTTTAAAGTGTTCATATAGTTCAGGTTCCAATGGCATGTCAGGACAATATTGTTGTTGCTCGCTGGCACAAAGAGGATACTGTCATATTTCTGATTATCGGCTATTGAACAACACATCTAATCAGATATAGAGAGTATATTAAACACAACATAATCAGGACATCCCCAAATTAGTTGTAAAATGATTAGTTTAATGATTTGATGTAGCTCACTTGAGGAGAGGAGGGCCTCTGCTTTCCTTGCTATGCATTCCCTTCTTTGTTCTCCTTCATTCCTCCTCCCTTCTCATCCCCTCATATGTGCCCTCCCCTTAACCTGCTGTCTCCCTGACTCTTGATCCTTGGGTCTCCTCCCAAATCTCTATCTCTCCTTAGAACTGTATACTATAAGTGCCATAATACCGTAGGTTGGAGAAAAGTACCTCTTTCTTCACACATGATTGGCCGAGGCCGTGCTCCGTTTGTGGTTCAGCTGACGACAGTTCCCTCTGCCAAGATGAAATAAGAGAACACACACGTACTCTACGCTACAGGTGCACATATCTGGCGTTTCCTGTAAAATGTAACCCAATAATGTGAGAAAGGCTTTTAAAAATATTTCTGCACAGATGTGGGAGACTGGGTGATCTCGGCTTTTAAAGTTGCCGTGTGCGAGTTGTGAGCGGTCATTTGTTTGTATAAAGTCAGCCCAGCAGTTCGGACAGACTCTCTGCTCATATAGAGGGAACACCCTGGTCATCATAAGCACACAGCTCCACATCTCTTTATTATTCCAAGAGTCTGAGTCCAAGAGTAACACGGAGGAGGAGGCCTTTGAGAAGGGAGCCAGCGGGACTAAAATCCTCCCGCCTGTTTACAGACACCAGAGCCCCGGGCCTTTGATCAGGTCTGGACCCTCCCTCGTCTGCTGGGCCTGGCCGACTCTGACCAAAAGTACTGTTCAGAATGCATGTGTGCACACACCCCCATGAAACTTGTACAAACCTTCATTACATTAGATGGTGTTTATTCTCAGCAGCTAGCCTAACTGGATTGGAACCGGAGCTGTTCAACCGTGGGCAAGTGCACTCCTTTAGAACAACAGCATTTAAACAAAGTCATGTAGATATAAAGTATATGTGTGAAACCTTTTTCCTAGGAATAAACATCTAAATGTACAGAAGTCCTGAGAAGCCAGCTTAAAAAAAAATCATCCTTGTAATTAGTTTCAGGTCTGATCAAAAAATGTTTTCCTCCTGAGTCTAGCGAAAACAGGACTAGGACAGGAATCAAAGATCATTTTGTCATGATAATACTTTTTAGGGTTTGTTGTTGGATCATTTGGGCCACAAGACGCTGAAGTCCACCTCTGCCTATATGTTTTAAATAGGATTAAAAAGGATCCATATTTTCTTTCCGGTGAATTTTTATTTGCCCATACACAAGTTAGAATTTGATCGGCCAGAACTTTTTCCCGATGGAAAAAGGAGCTAAGAAAGACGTATTTTTCCCCGCCTATCTTCCCACGTCACAAACACATGGGAGAAAACCATTTTGAGCTTCAGATTCAATTATTATTTTGCTCTTAGTGCTTCCATAGAAAGGTAAAAACAGGTCAAATTGTCTAATTTAAAACACAATCTTCAGTGGAACTGTGGTACCAGTCCTGATCTGAGAAAAACACTTTAAATGTGCATTATGTTGCAGTTGTGATTACATATTAATGTTACAAATGTACAAAAACAAGTAGAGCCTTGTGTGTGTTTGACTCCTCACTCCATCAGTATGTGTGTATACGTGTTATTCAGCCGTAGAAACAGGAGAGGGAGATATTGAGAAATGTCTTGCTGGACTGCGGCTCTTTCAGCCACAGGCCCAGAGGAATGGAGGAGGAGGAGAAGTAAAGAGGCACATAATGAGGGGCCTGAGGCGCTGTGTGTTGGAAACACAGCTGGTGTCCAACCTCCATCACTTTCTTCAGGGATGTCCTGATTATGTTGTTTTACCCCTGATCTTCATCCGAGTTCTTAAATTTCAGTAATTGCTGATACTGCATCCTATTTATTTTTTAATAGGTTTTTTCTTAAATAATGAAGTTGCAGAATGTGCATATAGGCTTCAATCAGCCTACATTAGCATAGATAAACTAGGGAGATTTTGGATAACTGAAAAGATCTGCATTACAACTTCCCATCAACATTTTGATTATCCCATAGTCGAGCATACTTTGAAAGAGAAGGAGGGACGTTTAAGTTCAAATGTCCAGGTCAAACCACTTGTTCAAAGTGTGTTACACCTGAAACATGTTTAGTTTGTGTTTGTTCTCAACTTTGTACTGATTCAGTACATCCCGAGTCTTTTTAAAAATGTATAAAGTTCAGCAATAGACTTATTTTTTCTGAATAAGCCTCTGTGTGCTTCCCATCGCTCATGGATTATAAATTGCCTTTTATATCTGGCAAATCAATTGTCGTGTCCGGTAATGAAATCTTTCTCTCTCTGTGTGTGTGTGTGTGTGTGTGTGTGTGTGTGTGTGTGTGTGTGTGTGTGTGTGTGTGTGTGTGGTGTGTGTGTGTGTGTGTGTGTGTGTGTGTGTGTGTGTGTGTGTGTGTGTGTGTGTGTGTGTGTGTGTGTGTGTGTGTGTGTGTGTGTGTGTGTGTGTGTGTGTGTGTGTGTGTGTGTGTGTGTGTGTGTGTGTGTGTGTGTGTGTGTGTGTGTGTGTGTGTGTGTGTGTGTGTGTGTGTGTGTGTGTGTGTGTGTGTGTGTGTGGTGTGTGTGTGTGTGTGTGTGTGTGTGTGTGTGTGTGTGTAGCGTAGCTGTGTGTGTGTGTAGCTGTGTGTGTGTGTAGCTGTGCAGGAGCAGAGGGCTTGATAATTGGCTTGTGCTGGAGTGTCAGATGGCTGAAGAGGGGATAATGGCGGACTCAAGCTGCTGCCATGGGGTGGAGGTGCGGGTGTGAAGGCCTCAAGTGAAAGGGGGGAGGGGGGTACACAGGGCTTTTTGTGAATGGGCCCCTCGTCTCTCTTGACCCCCCTCCCCCAATTCAGGCCTGCCGGGGTGCTTTTGTGGAGAGGGGATGGGAACCCAGGAACCTGGCAGCAAGTGGGTGACCTTCTAGCACCTCGCTCTCGCTGCCTCTTTTCTCCCTCCCTTTCTCTTTCTTGACCCTCCTCTTTTATATTCTCCTCCTGTTCTCTCTCTCACCCTGTCCCCCCACCCTCCCTGGCTCGGTCTGCTTTGTCCCATGTCTTATTTTTCAGTGCATCTATTTTATTTTAAGGCCTCTTTCTCTCTCTGGTAAGTATTGTAAGAAAAGGGAATTCTCCCCCTTCATTTGAGCGGGTAAAACACAGAGGGTGGAAGGAAGAGTGAAACAAAAAGAGAGAAGAAAGAGGAGCTGGAATTTAGTTATGGAATAGTAAAGGAAACGGCCGAGGGGAAAGGGGGAAAATAGGCTTTTAGAAAAAGGATGCAATTAAGGAAGAAACTATTGGGGAAAAATAAAGCAGGGAAGACATTTACTGTATTTGAAGAAGCTATATAAATCCTCCAAGTTCTAAATCTTTATTTTACACGCTCTCGCCCTCCTTTTTCACTATTTTCTTTGCTGCCAAAGGGCCCAATGACGATAAAGGGAAGGCAGTTGTTTTTGTGTAATGAAATGAGACTAAGAAAAGCTGCCTTTTTAAGTGTGGGTGTTTACTTCCTCTGCTCAGGCACTGCTATAGTCAGAGCTGCTAGTACCAATTTGAATTCCTAATGGCCTCATTTATATGCTGCTGATATAATAACCTGTGAGAAAAAAACTTTTACGGTGTTTTGGTTAACACTAAAACACTAACACTATTTTCAGGTAATGGAAGATGCATTTAAATATTCTAAATTACTCAAACTTCTGATCAACTGTGGATGGTCATTTGTTTGGCTCTCCCTTTAGCTAACACAAACAAAACAACACTGCACTGCCGTTCAGCATATCTAACCAGTATCAGCGGAAACTGTTTTTGCTGGAGTGAGCCATCATTGTATGAAGCAACAACATCGACTGCATGCATATGTGCTCTTTTTAAAAGCCTGAGCCTTTTTTCCTCCAGTGTCTCATTGAAAATGTGTGTGTGTGTGTGTGTGTCCGTCCTGCCGCAGGGAGCTCGCTTTCACCAGGCAGCTGCAGAAACAGTCCCCCAAGCTGTGCTACTACTACCTGGGCTTCTACATTCACTCCTGTCCCAAGATGCGGTATAAGGTATGCCTTGTCTCACATTGACTACTTTATTTATACCATATGATAATATGTGCTAATAAAATGCAATATCAAATACACTCTGACGTTTTTCAATTACATTTTACACCTGTGTCCACACATAACTAAATGGCAACACTTCTAAACTTGTGTTCCCCTTTCCTCTCTCAAATTAAATTGAATCCAACTGTTAATAATAACCAGTTTTAAAGGATGTCTAGCACTACACTCAGTGATGTTATATCCCCATGCTATGTTTATAATATTTCACATAAAAGGAGAGTTTTTGCCGTGTTTCCCAAAAGGCCGTAATGATGTTTGTTTAACATTTTTATGTGCAAGCCAAATGTGTGACAAATGTTTCCGCTCAGTTTTGTGTTATATTTTCTCATATTGCCTGTGTTGCAGCACCTCTTTTCACCCTCTGTCTGAAACCAGAGCTAAGTCTTCTCTGATAATTTGCTCTGGTTTGCTGGGGGTCTCTGTTGTGATTGGTCAACCGTTTAGAGATGTCCCGCCCCTTATCCTATTACATACCATGTGTTGGAGAACTAGCCAGTAGAAGCGCGAGTGTTTCACAGTGATGTCACTTTGTTCCGGACCTAAACAGAGGACTAAAATCCGGCTCCGTGTGTATGCCCTATACCAGTGGTCACCAACCTTTTTAAGCCCAAGATCACCGACCTCGGCCTAGGTGAAAGGCGAGATCTACCTATTGCAGAATTGAGTGAAAAAGACGGCCCAGACAGTGCTTCCAATGTAAGGCCTTTTATATAGGCTAATTGCATCTGAATTACTGTTACAATGAAGGCTCCATAATCAGCTCACGGCATATAGGCAGGGGTAAAGTGCTATTTTTGTATGAGTGGGGGGTGGACCTCACCTCCTTTAGGGGGGTCCTCACCTCCTCTAGGTCCTCACTTCCTCTAGGGGGGTCCGGGGGGATGGTCTCTTTGGTCCCTGGTGCACTTTGAGAGCAACATAAAGAGATCTATGGATACATCTCTCAGCACCCATATGAAACACAACTGTAAACAGATTTTCTTTTTCTTTATGGATATTTTACAAATCACTCCCCTTTTAAACTGTATTCTTGTTTTACTGCCATATAGTATTTCATACCTGTTTTTCATTTATTCTCTTATTGTTTGTATAATGATCATATGAAGGTGTGCCGCGGAAATAATCTTTTGAAAAATTTGTGACAAAACCGTTCTAAACACTCAGAGTCCTTTAGCTCACCTGAGCCCCTCAGTCTGACAGGGGAAGACTCTCCTCCAGTTTGTTGTGGAAACAGCTCCTTAGGCGCATTCACACCGCAGTACTTTTCCCACAAAGGTTCATGAGAACTTAGTTCATGAGAACTAAAGAGTTCTCATGAACTAAGTACAGATCGCGTTCACACCGGAATAAGTCCCTGGGGGAGGATTAGGCAAATGAAGCCGCTGACGTCACTTCTTCTTCTTCTGCTTTGGGTTTACTGGCAGGCCGCAAACCACTTCACGGCGTATACTGCCGCCCAAAGTCCCCGGCCGGAAGTCCCCGGAGTTGGGGACTGATTGATTGATTGAAAAGTTTATTAACAGCTTGTATATTGGGTACAGTACAGTACAGCTCAAAACATACAATTGTTAAGGGGATGCAGACCAGAGAAAGACTTTCGTCTTGTTTACATCAGGGTCCCCCATTTCCAATTCATGTAATTTAAGACATATAAGACATATTTGACATACAGATGGCTTATTTACAATTTACATACAGGTGGTTTTTTTACATACAGATTGCTTATTTACAATTTTCATTTTAGATTTCGTTCTAATACATCCTAACCGGACATTTAAGACATACCAAGTCTACAGATATACAGTTAGTAACAGAGTCTAAAATGCGAGTAGTATATACATAGATGGGGGGGGGGGGGGGGGGGGGGGAAGCTGTCCATTGAACGACAGGTTGAGATTTGTACCATTACCGGGGCCAGTTTTGCAATGCTCTCCCCCGAAGGTGCTCTTTAAGAGAGGTTTTGAAGGTAAGTATAGTTTTACTTTCCTTTACAGTTGTGGGAAGAGCGTTCCACCTTGATGTGGCATAATTGCGAAACGTGTATTCCCCCTTTTTTGTGCCAAATCTGGGTTTCACATGATTTGTGGAGCTCCCTCTGGTGTTATGATCATGGTATTCCGACTGGCTTCAGTAGAAGCCTTCCGAGTAAATCGCCAGGACGCCGACACCTCCTCATCTCAACCGCTCCCATGTTTTATTTTGTGTTGCCATAAGTTAGTCTCTCTGCTTTTCTGCGCTGGGCTAATGCTATTAATGCTAATGCGAGGATAATAAAATGGCGGCTTCACAAAACTTTTTGGGAGTTTTACGGGGCATGGTTTGCAATCCGCCCAGCCAATCAGAAATATAGCTCTTTTCTCACAAGAGAGCCGCACGAAAGTCCCTGCTCTCTAGCAGCTCTCTGCTCTCTAGCAGGGACTTTCGTGGGGGTAAAAAGGTTCTCATGAACTAATTTTAGTACCGGCTCTTTTTGGTGTGAACGTGACAAAAGAGTTCTCATGAACCTTTGTGGGAAAAGTACTGCGGTGTGAATGCGCCTCTTATGTCCGTTAGTTCAGCTAGCTAACCAGATGCTAACATCACGGTCCCCGCTAGCACCGGTCCCTCTCTCTCCTTCTCTCTCTATCACACTAAATGCGCTATTGCCATACACACACAGAGCCGAGCTTGAATGACACAAGCACACGTGTATTTCCATGCAACTTTCTGATTGGTCTGGTGACTTGCCTCTGTTGCATTCACTGAACACGGGAAATTGCAGTTCTGCCGTCCTCTCTTGTGTCATGATGAGGTTCACGTAAAGCACGGTTAATGTATTATATTATTGAGGTGTCTCAATATATATGGCAATCAAGTGGCACCTGCTAACGGGGTGGTGGATGATAGGTTTACATCTAAAAACGTATTTTTCAAACATTATTATTTTATTTTTCTTTCTTTTGTTACTTTTTTTTTTAACGGTCCGCGATCTACCCGCACCACACTCGATCGACTGGTTGGCGACCACTGCCCTATACGATAATTTCCTGAAAACAATGACGCCATAGCCCCGCCTCTCCCCACCTCTCCTGCTCTCCCCCATTGCTCTCCCATTGCTGATGCGTTTTGCCAACAACAACAACAACAATGGCGGATCACAGGGTTGCGTTCGTGAATCCAGACGCTACTGACCATGATACAGATTTTAGTGCAAAATCTACAGCTCCTCTACTACAACCATCAGCAACAATAATAATAATAATAATCGTCATCAGTCTTATTCGCTGCTTTTGGTGTATTTTGTGGCGGAAGTAATAATAATAATAATAATAATAATGCATTTTATTTATATAGCGCTTTTCACAACTCAAAGACGCTTAAGTACATACATTAAGTACATTAAGTATTAGCTTAAGTACAGCGCCACTTACAGGCCCGGCATATGTACTACAGCGTCTCCAGCGTTTTCGAGCGTTTTCACGTTTCTTGAGCCGTTTCCGTGTGGACGGAATACTTTTTTGAAAACGACTAAGGTTCGTTTTCGTCTCTGTGTGGATGGGGCCTAAAACTAGCTTGTCATTAGTGTTGTCCCCTCTTACACTATTTACACAAGTCTCTTTGCTACCCGTCTATCAAGCCAGTGACCAAGTGCTATCCTCCTCTGATTACTTTTGCATAATGTAGGTTTCTATCTTCCTGAGAGGCTTTGAATGTCCCAACTGCCTGATTGTATAGGAAGAGGAAGACCGGCCCCCCCCCTCTTTTTCCTCTACTGCTTTTGTTATTATAGGTGCGAAGTTCTCAACAGGGGCATACCTACAGTGTGATCTTTTCTCTCTCATTTCCACAGGAACCCTGGCACCTGCTCTCGTTTTTCATTTATTACAGTTTGGTATGTAAGTGTCCAGAAGTCTATCCAACTTAGTGATACATATCAAGTGTACGTCTTTAAGAATAAACATTAGATGCATGGTGCAGCAGTCGGTTACAATAAATCTGAATCTGAAAGCCTTTAATCGCCCCACAGCGGGGCAATGTTTACTGCGTCACAGCAGTAAGGCAGATAAAAAACAAAAGGCAAAAGAGTATACTTCTATATTAAAAATTTGTCCCATTTTATCATGAATATAAACAAATATAACAAATAAGTACAACAATTTAGTAGCATTATTTTAAAAGTAAGTGAAACACAAAAGTTTGGAAAGAGCCCGTAATGTTTACAGATTGTACAAATTATATGTAAATTGTACCAACAAATGTAATGTAAGTGTATATTTCACATCAGCAGTAGTAGCTAAGTATTGTAACAATCCAAAGGGATGCCCTGTCAGCATTACAGACTCAAATGCACCTGGAAAAGTTATTAAACCTAAACAGCTGATTCATGCGCAGTAAGCCTTAAGGGAGGATGGATAAAACAAGGAGAAATGTAAGTAAAGGGAGTGTGTGTGAGAGAAAAAGGACAGAGGGGAGGTACAGGCAAGGAAGAGAGGACGAGGCTGCTGAAGACATTAAAGGTTGAGAAGAAGGTCACAATGGTGTCGGCAACTGTAACTCGCCAAATGCGCACATAGTTGTACTTTTACACAAAATGCATAATGTATATGCACGTACAAACATGCTCACATTCAAACCAAACACGCCTAAAAGATCTAAAGCTTCACAAGCATTGGGGAAAGAAAGCAGCCTCTCAAGTCCATTAGTTTGGCTGAGATTTACCATTCATCCATTCTTTCTCTCATCCATCTACTAATTCCTCTATTTCTCTGTCATTTCATTCAGATGTTCCCAGAGCTTGTTCTTGTCCATGGGAGACTGATGTCTTGTTGGGGATTATGGCAAAGTGCCACATCTTTTTATCCATTTACATCTTGTTTTGGGGATTGCCTAGCTCAGTTTGGAAGTATGGAATGCATGTGAGCGTGTTTGCTCTGTTTATGTGTCTGTGTGTTGAATCTTGA